GATGAAGTTTGGTATATGGTGACATATATTCAGTAATTTTTGTAACAACAAAAATAAAAACCAGATTTTTTCTCTAATTTATCACACTTTATTTGTAACCACATTTTTATTCAATATCTGTTGTTTTGCTGTAACACTTGTTAAAAAGACGATGATAATTGTTTCGATGAATGATATACACTTCTACTACCGCGTTGTTTAAAATATAGAACACTATCTACGCCGTTTGTTCTTCTGTTTTATTGGCCAGCGTTTTGATTGAAGACTATAATAGTAATAAAACATCATTATAGGCCTTCCGACTCAACGTTGAACTTTTGGCGCGGTTTACTATTGTATAATACTATTGGACTCCGTCTTCCTCATTACGTCATTGGTGCAGTCACTTGCAGAGGAACACCTTTCAATCAAGTGAACTCAGTTTGTGGTCGTTGTTCTCACGAGGCAGTTCACAAGTAACATTCATTCTATAGTAACTGTTAGTGCCTGTTTGTTTAATATACCTTCTGTATTGCTAACGGTATTTTGTTACCTTTAGTTTTACTAACGGACAGACATCTAGGTTTCTTTACTATTAATTTTTTTGGTATACCACTATTAACCTGGTGTATCAATATATTTTAAGTAAGCTCCTTTTGTTTGGGAACCACCACTGGTAAATGTTTATCATGTGGAAAGTTTCATGCTCGCAATTCATGTGTATTTCGTAATGCTAAGTGTTTTAAATGTAGTAAGATAGGACACATTCAGTCAGTATGCAAAACTACTGTTCATTTTGCTTCAAGCTGTACTAAATCTTGTAATTTAAATTTCAATAATTCGGATGTTTCTAGTGATCATTTATCTTTGTCTACTATTTCGAAAGGTAATGCTCATATTCAAAAAACGACTATATACATTGCTTGGTTCATTTCATGACTTTATTCTGGACACAGGTAGTATAGAGTCCATTATTTCATTCAAGAACTTGAAATCCTCAGATCCTAACGTTGTTGTACGACCCACTGAAGTATCAATATTGGGGATTACTGGACACAGACTGCCCATACGAGAATGTTGTGAATTGCTAATAAGATATGATAATTCTTCATACATACTTTGTGAATTTTTAGTTAGCGAAACAAGACTGTCAATTTTGGGTTTAAAGAATTTGAAAAGGCTTAAGGTGGAGTTGTCCTTCTTAGTTTCTAAAGAAAATTCGGATACTTTACTTAAAGATTTGATAGCTATGTGTGCTAAGTGCAGTGGAGGTATGAAAATTAAGCCTATAAAACTTCAATTACAGGATGATCCAGTCTTTCTTAAAAGACGAATAATTCCTTATGGTCTTCGAGAAGCAGTACGTAAGACATTAAACGACTTGTGTGCGAAAGGCATAATTGAACCAACTCAGTCTTCAGCGTGGGTTACTCCTATCGTTACGCCACTGAAGTCGGACGGCAAGACCCCTAGAATTTGTGGTGACTATAGATTAACTCTGAATTCCCGTTTGTTGAAGCAAACGTGCACAACGATAGAAGCTGAAGATATTCTAAATCGACTTCATGGTTCTAAAGTGTTCTCGAAAGTTGACTTTAAAGATGCTTATCTTCAAATTCCTTTAGATCAATCTTCATCTATTTTGACGACAGTTAACACTCCGTTTGGTCTGTTCAAATACAATTTCTTTCCATTTGGTCTAAGTTGTTCTCCAGCCATATTTCAGGAAGTTATGAATAAAGTAGTTAGTGATCTTGAAGGTGTTGAGGTTTATCAAGATGATCTCATTGTTCATGGTTCTAATAAGTTAGTTCATGACCAGAGACTTATTGCTTTATTGCGTCGTTTAGTTGAGAAGAATATTACAGTGAATCCAAATAAGTGTTCATTTTGTGTATCTAGTTTTGAATGCCTTGGATACCTAGTTGATGGTAATGGTTTCAGACCAGACATGAAAATACTAGCTCCAATGACTAATGCACCGTCTCCGAAAAATCTAACAGAATTACGTTCACTAGTAGGTGCTCTTCAATACTATTCCCGTTTTACTCCTAATTTTTCTTGTCGTGCAAATTGTTTATTTAATATTTTAACATCCAATTCATTCAAATGGAGTGAGGAACAAGAGTCATGCTTACGTTTTCTACTAAAGTTTCTTCAAAGTGATGCTGTTCTTCGAACGTACTCCCCTAGTGTACATTCTGTGCTTATTACTGATGCATCACCTGTGGGAATTGGTGCAGTTTTGGAACAGGAAGGTAGACCAGTTATTTGTGTTTCACGCAAACTTACTGTTACTGAACAAGGTTATTCACAGACTCAGCGAGAAGCATTAGCTCTGTTTTGGGCTGTTAAAAGACTTCATAAATATTTATTCGGTAAGTAGTTCACTATTGTTACTGATCATGAAGCTTTAAAGTTTATTTATCATCCTGAAAAATCCTTAGCACGTTCCTCAGCAGCTATGGTTCAGCGATGGAGTATTGCTTTGAATGCATATGACAATACGGTTCAACACAGAAGTGCCAAACAGATTCAACATGTTGATTACATTTCTCGACAGTCATTACAAGATAAACCTATTAATACTTCGGATTGTTTGTTAGTGCAACCTTTACCAGTGAGACGTTCAGATCTCATTAGAGAAACGCGTAGATATTTTGGATGTATACTCAGTGCTATAAGGAAAGGTTGGAATGCTAGTTTGAAACGTAGATTTCCTATCTATTTTTCAAAGCGGGATGAGCTATCTAATACTCCTGATGGTTTTCTGTGTTTAAATGATCGTGTTGTCATTCCTCCTTCATTGCGTAAATCTGTTCTTGAAGATCTTCATAGTGGTCATTTAGGTGTTGAGAAAATGAAGTCCTTGGCAAGGCTCACATGCTGGTGGCCAGAGATAAATGCAGATATATGTCGTACGGCAAACAATTGTGAGAAATGTCATTAGTTGAAAAATCATCCTTCGAAGTGGGTGCCATGGCCAGTATCGTCTGAGTCCTGGCAGAGGATTCATGCTGACTATTGTGGACCATTTCTTGGTAAATACTCCGCACTAGTAGTCATTGATTCTTTTTCAAAGTGGCCTGAAGTTTTTTCACAACTTCACCAAATTCTGATTTCACAATACAAGCATTAAGAAAGGTGTTTAGTCGAGAAGGGGTTCCCATGGTGTTGGTGACTGATAATGGCTCACATTTTGCTGCAGATGCAGTCACTACCTGGTTGAAAGGTATAGGGTGCAAACATCTATTTACTGCTCCCAGACATCCGTGTTCTAATGATCAGGCAGAGAATTTTGTTAGGACATTAAAGACTGCTATTGATTCTATAGCCCCCTCAACATTTAATGAGCTGGAGAGGGAAGTAGATACCTTTCTATTGCAATATAGAAATTCCAGACATTCGGTGACGAAGGAGACTGCAGCGAAGCTATTGAAAGGAAGAATTCTTCGGTCGAATATGAGATGTTTGGAGTCTGCAGAAGTTACATACTATTGAGGAAATGATCATCGACCATATTCGGGTATTGTTCTGAAGAATGTCGGAAAATCGATGGTGCGAATTCTAGACATCGATGACTTAAGTACACACAGTCGACATATAGATCAAATACAATTTCAGGAACCAGGTGAGTCAGTTCCAATTTCGATTGTTAATTCTAATGCTAATGAGCATATTCTAGATAATACAGAATCCTTATCCAATACAATGTCAGACAGACTCAGGATGAATTCGAGAAGACGTACGATTGATTACAAACACCTAGACTACAATTTAAGCAGTGGCGGATGTGGTGTTTGAATGAACCAATGATACCTTTGTACTTGTTGAATGCTCGATTTCGAATTCCAAATAAAATACATTCGCTTGTGCTTGTGTCTTACTTCTTAATTCAATTGCGTTAATTCTGGGATTCTTAGTTCATAATACAATTCAAATAATTGAAATATTATATTCACTCAATGAAAACGTGAAATGTACGATCTTTCAAATCCTAACGTTAACGTAATGATCAGCCAATTAGCAAACAGTGATTTATCGACCGGTCCAATGACGTATAAAACCCGTACGAGCAGTCTAGAGTCTTTATTGGTCCTGCTTCCTGCCTAGTGCTGCCTGTTAAGTCCAGAACACCAATCTCAGCCTCTGCGATATGAATCATGTATTTCAAACATACTGGAAATATTTACATACCAAACATACGACATCACTCAATAAAATAGAAAATAACATTTTTACAAGATTTAGCCAAAGGTGGCTGTGAATGTGGGAGACTGTAATTAATAGACTGAGCGTAACTCAAGAACGACAAATCGTATAATAATAGTCTACGGTCCAAAATAAAGCTTTTAATAAGAGGAGCATGAATATGTATAGTTTAGCTAATTAATAACTAAGCAATAAAATATATGTATCGTATACGTTCAAAAATAGTTCTCAACAGTTATGATGCAAATTCCTGTCAGGATGTAACCGTTTATAAAAGTATATAAAAATAGGAGAACGTCATGGTCACAACTGGATTTATTGTACGTAGACCAGCTGCGATATTGTATACAGGGCAAATCATCAATTGGTGCAACCATTACAGAATAGTTCATTATCGTGCTACAAGTCATCTACAAACTTTTATGATACAACATTACACTTAGGGACCGAAAAGACGTTTTGTCAGAAAGATATGCATTTGGAACAAAACGAATAATAGAACTGTATCTCAGAAAAGCGGTAAATAATGCATAGCATCAATCACTTTTTTGATGTGGATTAAAAACTCCTTTTTAGTGCTGATGTAATTCAACGATTCGACTAGTTTAGGTGAATCGACATCTCGTGCATTATAATGACTATAATGTAGGGCAAGCATTCAAAATGTTGTTGTGGAATCAAAAAGCAATAAATTAGAAATTTGTTTCTCTAGTACTACCCCATACGGCGTTATTGTATGCAATGTCTTTCCAAGGAAAAGCGCTTCATACAATGTGCGACCTTGAGACCACTCGGCATATGTAGGTTCTACCGCATACTTACTTTTCATGCAAGTATGTTAGTACGAGGTTTAACTGTTGTTAGCACTCCGAAAACTGCATCAAAAAGTAATGATTATCTAATGGGACTTATTTTGATCATTGGATAAATATTATTGAATTCATCGGTGAGACTATAATTTGTGGACGAGGCAACTAGATATAAGATAACAGGAATACTTTGGATTTTAATGGCTTAACTTAAAAACCATCCTATGAATTACTAGTTGCTAACCAACTGCCATAAGGGTAGCCTGTGTCACTGCAAGGTAACTCGTACTCGTACTTGAGATCTCAGCCTTTTCCAATGATAGTTCTTCATCTTCACATGCTGCGCAGAGCTGCTTCCAAAATGTCAGTAGGAAAATTTTAGAATAATGGAGAAATTCGAAAGCCGCCTAACCCACTTGCTGAAATGAAACAATAGAGTAGTAATTCTGTTAGGGAAAACTCACGCTAGCTTTTCTTTGTTGATAAAGGTAAATTTCTTTCCTGTAACAATGGCTGAGAATAACGTTCTCTCTGACGTATGTTTTTGCACGACATATCGTTTTCTGCTTGGCTGTTACCAATTCTTGTTTATGGTTATTCTGTTCTCACGTCGTGTCTTGTTACTCTACACAGTTTCAACTTTGGAACACTGAAACAGCTAACTTTTTCTTCACTTCTGTCCTATTCCTGAATTTCTTTGCATTGGGCGTAAGTGTTTCGTATCAGTACTCGTACTATCGAGTTGGTATTAGTTCCTATTCGTATTAGGAAACGTTCTGTCATTCGTTATCAGTAAATTACTATAAACCCAAGCAAAGCAAATCCTAGATACGACAGTAGATATACCTCGCTTTTGCTTGAGGTTCAGTACGTTAGTAAACTTCTCAACTATAAACCTCACCAATTGTCAAAGCACATTCATGTCTAACAGGTCAGTCTCTCTGGTATCAAGAAATGCACTGACTGTTGGCTGTGTTTAAGTATATGATGTGGGACGACTTGATCATTCAAAAACCACCGTATTATCTACTAGACACACAGTGTTGTGAGTCTTTGGAACTATTGGATTAGTAACTCACAAAACTTATTTTTCTCGTAGATGTAAAACGTAACTTGTCTGCGTTAATGCTTAACGTAGCTGTAGAGCTAATGTAGTCGATCATATTGAACACTGGTTACGTTGATCACAAAATTTCATTGACTCATATAGTTGAAACAGCTAGTCAGTCGCAACGTAGAACCTGCTACGTATGTGCATCGTCTCAAGTTGTTATACTTCTTTTGCACATAGCGATAGGATTGTCAGGTCAAATCTCAGACTAGTAAAGCTATTAGCAATATCAATGGTAATAGAAAAAAATTAGTCATCGAGGATATGATTCAATAAACCATAAATTAGTAAAGTAAAAAATATTACGAGGAATTCAGTAGCTTAGAATTTAGGGGAAGACAAAGTAAATCTATCTGGACTATTGTGAACTATTTTGAAACAAATCTCTAACCACTGGTTACGATAGTTGATACAGTTGGTTTTCTGAATAGGCCTCATAAGACAAAATACACGGATACCTAAATCGATGTAAGTGACCGAGGTGCATTCATTTTCTATTTTGTTTTCACTCATGAATATCCAACGTTTTTTTAAGAATGCTTTCTCTTCGTTGCTGTTTCTAACATGTTCCTATGTTTTTACTGTCAATATCTTCGTGAACGTTATGCGGTCACTCAAACCGCAACACTGACACCCTCATTCTGAGCCACATTCTCCATAATCTCAATTTTGAAATATCTTTCTTCTGTTCCGCTCTAAACTTTGAATCCACTCATCTGTATATTTTTTAATCTGTTTTCTGTAGTAGGTTCTTAATAAGACAGTCTCCTTGAAAGTGCTCATATAAAGTTTGTCAGATTTGTATGTCATGTCATCATGCATCGAAATGGGAATGAATTGCTTATAAACTTCAAGTTATTACTAATTGGAGATAGTGGAGTTGGGAAATCAAGGTTAGTACCAATGTCATACGACTTTTTCGATTTTTATAGCTTGTTAATGCGTTATACTAATGATTGTTTTGAAAGTCAGCTATCTGCAACTATCGGTAAGTTTATGTAAAAGTGATTTGTGTGTATTTATCATTTTAGGCGTTGATTTCAAAGTCAAACATGTTACGGTCCCTGATGGAACAAAGATTAAGCTCTCTATATGGGTGAGTGATCTGACTCGTAATCAATTTTAAACCTGTGTTAATAAGTGAACTTTTTCCCCATAACCGCATACTCTCCAAATCGTCAGTCACCTTTGTACGAAGCAAATCTTGTATCTGTGAACTAGTGACTCTTCATCAAGCATCAATGAATTCATGGCTCACATGCCCTGTTACGGCCGAAAGTGGAGAGAGTCCGCTCTCCCTCTCGAAATACTCTCACACGGCCACGCGTATACAGCCTCTGCCAGGGAAGTCCTACTCATTGTCTTCTCGTGGAGGGGGTGTTGTTTACGAAAATGAGAGGACGAAAAGCGAATGTCAGGCGCTTTAACCGGATTCCAAATCAATGATGCACATGGGCCCCAGTACCCTGAGAGAATAAGTGGCGTATGAACCAATCGTTGGTCACCGGCTACCATGGGACTGCATCTCCTCACGATCCTCCACTGCCTTGTGGGTTAGACGTTAAGGTCAAAGGCTCGGGGTGTGGCCCCCTAAGATAACCACCTGCTTCGGTCTGGGCACCCGGGCAGTATCACAGCCCACACACAAATGATGAACTCTCTATATCTATGGAAACTACTTTTCTCGCTTCGAAAAACAATCAAATGATTCAAATTATTATCATTACTATTATTGTCATTATTATTATTATTATTATTATTATTATTATTATTATTATTATTATTATTATTTACCACATTATTCACCGTCTTTTATACTTATACAGTGGCTCGTCTTTGGTGGAAATCCGACTCTATCTAAACGTTCTCGAGTCACTGTCCGGTTGAAAATTGTGTTGCCACCGAATATGAGTGCTGGAGCAGTTTTTCTGAAACCACGTGCAACATTCAAACTGGCTGCCTTCAACGTTCGCACACTTATGCAGGTTGGACAACAGATAGGGCTGGCTATGTCTTTGGAAAGTCTTAATATCGATGTCTGCTGTCTATCCGAGACCCGTATTCAAGACTCTGATGAAGTACTACAAATTCACTCTCCATCTCTCGCTTCAAAAAGCTTGTTTTACGTGCGTTTATCGGGGGACCCTGTGGCATCTTCGTCTGGTCTTGCTGGCGTTGGTGTCTCACTAAGCGCTAGAGCTGAGGCAGCACTAATCGATTGGATCCCCATTAACAGTCGGTTATGTGCTGTTAGATTAGAAAGTTCCATCAAAGTGAGAAGAAATCGGCATGAGAAACGATGTCTTTTCGTCATCTCCGCCTATGCCCCGACAGATTGCAGCCCGGATGCAATCAAGGATGAGTTTTACCACCAGTTATCAGTTCTTCTCCAGAAAATGCGTTCGACAGATATTGTAGTACTAGCCGGAGACTTGAATGCTCACGTCGGGCGTCTAGGCACAGAAGAGAATCGTTTAGGTGGCCGATGGGGACTCGTTGGTCGCAGGTCAGATAACGGGGACCGTCTACTGCAACTATGCACAGACCACAACCTGTTTCTGGCTAGCACTAACTTTCGGCACAGTCATCGCCGATGTGCCACCTGCCGTCCCCCCTCTGCATCCCAAGCCTGGACTCAGATTGATCACATCGCGATCAGCTACCGCTGGCGTGGTTGTGTACAAGGCTGCCGCTCCTTTTGGAGTACCTATCTGGACTCTGACCATGCCTTGGTCTGCGCCAATCTTGCCTTACTTTTCACTGGACAACAAAGTGACCACCATCAACGGATTGATATTAGCAAGCTGGTTGCAACTTCTGTTGCAAGTAAGTAACGAACCGAGCTAGCCTCTAGGCTAGCTACCATTGGCTGCTATTGCATGACGCCATGAAAATGGTGAGTACAGTCAGTTTTGGGTTCGCGAAACGTCCCGCTTATAAGCACTGGGTTTCTTCTGGTTCCTTACAACTCATTGAAGCCCGTCGGTCTACTCCGAGTGACCGTGAGTTTGACCACAAACGAAGGATGTTACGTAATGAAATCGGGCAAAGCTTGCGTAAGGACCGAGAAGCCTGGTGGTCGGAGTGTGCTAATGAGTTGGAAGCAGCAGCTGCATCTGGTAATTACCGGAAGCTCTTCCAACTCATGCGAGCCACTGGCAGCAAGAAGTCTGGTGTGAGCGAAACAATCTGTGAGGATGATGGGATGCCAATCACTAACATCCATCGACGTCTTGGACGATAGGCAGAATTTTTCGAAGGGCAGTTCAACTGGCCTGCTGTTCCGGCAGCATCGGTCAGACTGTCCTGCCCTCCATGGCCTGTGACAACTGATCCACCAAATGAGGCGGAAGTCCTCAAGAAGCTCCCACTCTTGAAGCGCTACAAATCACCTGGCCCAGATGACCTACCTCCGGCTCTTTTTAAAGATGGTGGTGACTTTCTGACTAAGGAATTGACGACGTTGTTTACAAAGGTTTGGGAACTAGAGAGTGTACCAACGTCATGGAATGAGTCGATAGTTGTCCCTATCTTTAAAAAGGGTTCACGTCGTCCCTTTAACAACTATCGGGGGATAAGTCTACTTCCGATTACGTCCAAGCTAGTGGCTTCCGTCATACTTCGTAGGTTGTTCAAAACCCGAGAAAGTTTCTACTCAAGAGGAGCAGGCTGGTTTTTGTTCTGGTCGAGGATGTATTGATCATTTCTCCACCCTCCACCAAATGTTAGAACACAGTCATACTTATCAAAGGCCAATAATCGTAGTGTTTCTTGACATCAGGGCTGCCTTCGATTCGTTGGACAGCACTGTTCTCTGGGATTGTCTATTGAAGAAGGGTGTGCCTGAGAAGTTTATTAGCATCCCAAAAGCTCTATATACAAACACCTCAGGCAGAATGAGGGCATACAACCACCTCTCTCCATTGTTCCATTCGAGCAGTGTGGTTAGACAGGGTTGCCCAATCTCACCATTCCTCTTCAACTTTGCCATCGACGACATTCTGGAAACAGCTCTGATGGATGTAAGTAATGGTGGTGTGGATCCTGTTGCCTGAAGAAAGACTTCTCAACCTTGAGTATGCGGATGATATTGTCTTAATGTGCGATAATGCCCAAGACATGCAATACGCACTTAATCAGTTGGCAATCAATGTCCGTAGGTACGGTATGTACTCTGCACCTTCGAAGTGCAAAGTACTTCTACAAGACTGGAAGGATTCTAATCCTGTATTCACCCTGGATGGTGAGCAGATAGAAGTAGTCGAGAAGTTCGTGTATCTGGGTAGCTGCATAGATGCTGGTGGGAGTGGGAGTGATGAGATCAATGCACGTATAGTGAAAGCCAGAGCGGCTTATGCCAATCTGGGCCATTTTTGGCGCCTTCGTGATGTTAGTCTGGCTGTAAAAGGTCGGGTCTTTAACGCGTCGGTGAGAGCAGTTTTGCTCTATGCTTGTGAAACCTGGCCTCTCCGAGTTGAGGATGTTGGACGACTCTGTGTTTGATCATCGTTGTCTCCTAAGGATTGCTGACATCCAGTGGCAACACCATGTTAGTAATGCAGAGGTTCGGCATCGTGTGTTCGGGCGCAGAGATGATAATCCGATTGGTGTCACCATCTTAAAACACCGACTTCGGTGGCTTGGACATGTTCTACGAATGTCGTCCCAGAAAATTCCATCTCGTGCATTATTTGCTGACTCTGGGACTGGTTCGATAAAGCGGAGAGGTGGTCAGTGCATGACATGGTGTCGTGGTATGAAAGAAAGCTGCGAAGGGCTGGCTTGTGTTGGTCGTTCACGACTCCCTGGTTGGGGTCCGAGAGATGGTGCTACACAGTGGCTAGAGACGTTATCAGATATGGCTCAGGATAGAAGCCGGTGGCGATCCTGCTGTAACCTTCTTTTACTTTCTCCATAAAAAGTGGTCGTATCTTCCTTAACTGAAAGATTTCTTCTGATTGTACCTTCCCGTTCCCTCATTATTACTACTGTTATTACTACACTACCTTACACCAACCTCTTTGTTATTGTTCTCTTTTTTTTCTTTCTCTTCGAATTCTCATTGTTTTGTGTGGCGCATATATATTGGCGCTCTCTTGTACCAATATTTATGTGTTCATAGAAATAAATAAATAAAATAGTGTAAAAATATGCAACAGGTAGGAGAAATGTATATTTATTGAGAGAAGTTACAAAGTATTTACAAACTATATATACATAGCCTTCAATCGTCCATGTGCATCTTACTGTGTGTTCTGCTATCTGAACTGTCTTCTCGTGTTGTCCCCATGTGTTATGTCAACGCCGTGCTTTCGATGCACTGGTACTCTTCATTCTGTCTGACAGTTGTTGCAACTTCGACTCCGCGTTCCGGTACACGCTACTTACAAACAATCTTATGAGTAGCATCCGCTACAATAGCATGGTTGAATGGAGTTCATTACTGACACGCATAAACATTAAATATATGGTTTATGGTTGACATACTGAACATTGATCCAGAAAGTCATGGGTTTAAAGCTTAGGAAACCTACAGAGGTTAAGATAGCACTCACATAATAAACATAGCTCATAGCGAATATACCAACAACATACTTTTAATGGAAAAATACACTAGAAATGTATATATTTCATTCATGTTATAGGTTAGAAATTGAAGTGCTGAATAGCTACTTTGAAACTGCTGCCACGTTAAATCAGTCAACTTTTAATCCTGCAGCTTTTCTAATCTTAGAAACTGGTAGATTAAAAAGATGACTTCATGGTTCATATCTATAGGAATCGCTCAAAATGATAAGTGGGGTTTTCCGACTGACAGCATTTCTGTGGTAACCACTCAGTAGAAAATTGTGTCAGATACCCCAGTTGGGTTGAAATCTCTGCACAAGACAACAAGATCCACTGTGATTCCTATCATGCGTTTTAAGCAGAATAGAGTAATTTCCAGTTTAATCCTAATTAGAGTCAGGTTATCAGTCCTTATCGATCCCCATCAGTCTCAATAATCTACTTGGCCAGTGTTGTAGTCAGATTTGTTAAGACCCTATTAATATTACTCTGAATTACTAAATTATTTAAATACTGTAATTTATGATAACCTTGTTTTTCGACAGTTGCATGTATGGGGAAGTCAGAAAAGCCTCAGTTCAAAGAGATTGTTATGTCCGAACGAAGAATAAATGAAAGATAACTTCTACGAGTTATTTAAGTTACTGTATATACAATATTCCATTTATCATAAGCTTTCATTTGACCTATTGGCTTCCGTTATACGACTTACGATTCTTTACTTATTCCCAATTTATCAGCTACAGTATCTCATACAGCCACTTTTGGCTTGATATTGTTTCATTATTATTTTGCATTTTACAGTGTGATTCGGTCTGGTCTGCTTGTATATAAACTACTTATGTTTGAAATATACCATTCATACAGTGGAAGATGAGATTGTGTTCTGGACTGAACGGTCTAGGCTAGGTGAGAAGTTACTATACAGAGGAATAATAATGACTCAGTTGATTGCTGCTGATCGTGCTGGGTAACGAATCATTGGTTTAGCATAAACATATCATATAAATCGGTGTTTTGATTGGCGGTTTCATCACGTTATGTTAAACGGCTTATAGGACGTAACAGAGATAATAAATATACTGAATCATCATTATGAATAATTTATTGTGATGTACATTACATCTGAGTAAAACTGTAACCCTAGTCCTTGGATTCGCATTTAGTTCGTTCAATTGATTAACGTCGCTTTTGAATGTCTTTTCGTTTCATTGCTGTTGAAGCTTCTGTGCAAGATTGCTGCTTCTCAATTACCTTTCTAAAGGTATGACTAAAATCCTTGGTTTTGTCTTCAAATCCAAGAATGCCTTTTGTAGTAAAACATTAACATCTGTCAACTTTTTTATTCAATTGTTAGTCATACTCATCAAATCTAACTGTATTGTTTCTTTCTATGCTTGTAGACAAATGTATGAAATATATGTTTGCCAGTTATTAAGAATTGGTTATTTGTACATTGGTAACGTGACATACTTTCTGTTGTCTTATCGTGTACCAAGGAATTTCTGTACTGTCAATACATAATTATATAGAAGACATTTCTCTGTTGATTTTGAGGTTGTGACTTGGTTTATCCTTAAAAAGGGTGTTCAACTGAAGGCCTGTTATGGGCTAATTAAGTACTAACATACGATCTGAATGTATAGACATTTTGGTTTTTTCTTTTTTAATAGCAAGGCTGGCTAATTAGTTCCGATTGTTTGTATATAAGTAAACATTGAATTACGCCGTTACCGCATGAATTTTTTCCGACACGATAGATTGCATTTAAGATGTAATGATTTATTTTTACAGTATCTTTTTCAAAATTTTGTAGGATACTGCTGGTCAGGAGCGGTTTCGTACTTTGACACCCAACGTGTATCGTGGTTCACACGCTGCTGTTTTTGGTGAGTTGTGTTTTAAAAACTTGTTACGGATTATATTATGTGATTTCACGGGTATTTATTAACTTTGATACTCATAAATGAACATCTTTTGAATCGAGCTTGACGTAGAAAAGCCAGTACAAGTAAAATTATCATTTTTTCTGATAACAAAGCTAAAATATCATCCGAACAGGCTACTTCTCATACACTTGTAAAACATGTTTTTCGAATATATGGCCTATAATTTCCAGGTAATTGAATATGGGATCATCTTGCTCAATCTAAAAACCCATTATGTTGTTAAATATATGTTGATACATAAAATTCAATCAGAAGCGTCTCATTGATTGAAGATATGCGTCAAGAAGAGTAAAAGTTAACCAGATTTCTACTCCTGAACCACTTTATTCTAACTGTAGATCACTAATAGACAAAATGAATTTTATTTTCTAGTAAACGTAAATATGTGTCGTAATTGTGGCTCAGTCTCAGTTCAAGAATCTTGATTAAATGACTTCCATGACGATAGTTTGATATCACTACATAATTTCAGGGTTCATCATCAAGATTGTTCAATCAACGAAAAAAAGTGAGGTGCTGGTGTAAATGTTTTGTTATTGTAGACTGGTGTTAATCTAACTATGCACATTTTAAGTTTCCCAACAATTTTATAGACCGTTAGCATTTCTAGATGATAATTCTGCCTTTGTTTCTGTTTCACGACCACTATTATTGGGCAAGTTTATTGGCGTTAATGCTGAGAGCTGGATAACTAACTGGGCTTGTTCTTATTTCTTTGAAACAACATTATACTGTGTATAAAAGAAAGCTTTTCACATATTTGTAAATCAAAGTTGGTTTACCACAAGTTTTTGTCTCCCCTTCTCTTTTATTTTTCTTACATCTGCCGTCCACATAAAGCATCTTTTTATGATATGGAAGATATCTCGACTATTGAAGTTGTGCATTCTAGGTCTAGAGTTGGTTGCAGAGAACACCATAGTTGAATTAAGTGTACATCTAATTTTTAAAAAAATAAGTTAGCTAACAGTGTCTCATATGTTCATTACTAAATCATTCTATCCAGTGATTATGAATGTTTTTTTATCGCATCAATCAACATAAATGTGTTACAACTGTTCGGGTGATCTCATTATTTAACTTGCTAAAGTTAGATATCATGAAAATAAACTATTGAATTCAGTAACCATCCCATAAATATTTATGTCAATCAATTACTTAGATAAAAAATTGTTTAGAAATTGTTCACAATTTTTGTTTCATATTTAGGTCTAAAGTTATTGTTGTTTTTTTTCCTTAAAAAAAGATTATACTTAGCAAGGATGTGAACAACTAATTGTAGATGATTAAGGGAAGTTTTATATATAACATCTTTTAAGTATTTTAACAGTCTTAAGAAAGAAAGGGCCGCTGACATTCGTTTATTATGGGACATTTGATAGTCAGTTATTCATAACTACTCCATAAGTAGTAAATATTCAGAAATTATATCTATTTGTTTATTTCCATGATTTGTATGTAACATAGTTGAATGTGATTGTTTGAAACATGAAATGAAACTTTCACATTTAGATAGATATTCCACAGTTTATTCTCGTTGTAATTAACATTAAATATTACATCTATTCAGTCAGTCAAAATCGAAATAGAGCTGGGGATAGATCAGTGGTTAAGTGCTCGCGCGCGTAACCAGTAGGTGCTGGGTTTGAATCTCGCAGAGGGGCGAGGTCGTGGATGCGCACTGCTTAAGAGTTCCACAATAGGACGAGACGGCCGTCCAGTGCTTCCAGGTTTTCCATGGTGGTCTAGCTTCAACTGACTCATGATCTTAACCATTGAAATTTATTTATTTCTATGAACACATAAATATTGGTACAAGAGAGCGCCAATATATATGCGCCACACAAAACAATGAGAATTCGAAGAGAAAGAAAAAAAAGAGAACAATAACAAAGAGGTTGGTGTAAGGTAGTGTAGTAATAACAGTAGTAATAATGAGGGAACGGGAAGGTACAATCAGAAGAAATCTTTCAGTTAAGGAAGATACGACCACTTTTTATGAAGAAAGTAAAAGAAGGTTACAGCAGGATCGCCACCGGCTTCTATCCTGAGCCATATCTGATAACGTCTCTAGCCACTGTGTAGCACCATCTCTCGGACGCCAACCAGGGAGTCGTGAACGACCAACACAAGCCAGCCCTTCGCAGCTTTCTTTCATACCACAACACCATGTCATGCACTGACCACCTCTCCGCTTTATCGAACCAGTCCCAGAGTCAGCAAATAATGCACGAGATGGAATTCTCTGGGACGACATTCGTAGAACATGTCCAAGCCACCGAAGTCGGTGTTTTAAGATGGTGACACCAATCGGATTATCATCTCTGCGCCCGAACACACGATGCCGAACCTCTGCATTACTAACATGGTGTTGCCACTGGATGTCAGCAATCCTTAGGAGACAACGATGATCAAACACAGAGTCGTCCAACATCCTCAACTCGGAGAGGCCAGGTTTCACAAGCATAGAGCAAAACTGCTCTCACCGACGCGTTAAAGACCCGACCTTTTACAGCCAGACTAACATCACGAAGGCGCCAAAAATGGCCCAGATTGGCATAAGCCGCTCTGGCTTTCACTATACGTGCATTGATCTCATCACTCCCACTCCCACCAGCATCTATGCAGCTACCCAGATACACGAACTTCTCGACTACTTCTATCTGCTCACCATCCAGGGTGAATACAGGATTAGAATCCTTCCAGTCTTGTAGAAGTACTTTGCACTTCGAAGGTGCAGAGTACATACCGTACCTACGGACATTGATTGCCAACTGATTAAGTGCGTATTGCATGTCTTGGGCATTATCGCACATTAAGACAATATCATCCGCATACTCAAGGTTGAGAAGTCTTTCTTCAGGCAACAGGATCCACACCACCATTACTTACATCCATCAGAGCTGTTTCCAGAATGTCGTCGATGGCAAAGTTGAAGAGGAATGGTGAGATTGGGCAACCCTGTCTAACCACACTGCTCGAATGGAACAATGGAGAGAGGTGGTTGTATGCCCTCATTCTGCCTGAGGTGTTTGTATATAGAGCTTTTGGGATGCTAATAAACTTCTCAGGCACACCCTTCTTCAATAGACAATCCCAGAGAACAGTGCTGTCCAACGAATCGAAGGCAGCCCTGATGTCAAGAAACACTACGATTATTGGCCTTTGATAAGTATGACTGTGTTCTAACATTTGGTGGAGGGTGGAGAAATGATCAATACATCCTCGACCAGAACAAAAACCAGCCTGCTCCTCTTGAGTAGAAACTTTCTCGGGTTTTGAACAACCTACGAAGTATGACGGAAGCCACTAGCTTGGACGTAATCGGAAGTAGACTTATCCCCCGATAGTTGTTAAAGGGACGACGTGAACCCTTTTTAAAGATAGGGACAACTATCGACTCATTCCATGACGTTGGTACACTCTCTAGTTCCCAAACCTTTGTAAACAACGTCGTCAATTCCTTAGTCAGAAAGTCACCACCATCTTTAAAAAGAGCCGGAGGTAGGTCATCTGGGCCAGGTGATTTGTAGCGCTTCAAGAGTGGGAGCTTCTTGAGGACTTCCGCCTCATTTGGTGGATCAGTTGTCACAGGCCATGGAGGGCAGGAGAGTCTGACCGATGCTGCCGGAACATCAGGCCAGTTGAACTGCCCTTCGAAGAATTCTGCCCATCGTCCAAGACGTCGATGGATGTTAGTGATTGGCATCCCATCATCCTCACAGATTGTTTCGCTCACACCAGACTTCTTGCTGCCAGTGGCTCGCATGAGTTGGAAGAGCTTCCGGTAATTATCAGATGCAGCTGCTGCTTCCAACTCATTAGCACACTCCGACCACCAGGCTTCTCGGTCCTTACGCAAGCTTTGCCCGATTTCATTACGTAACATCCTTCGTTTGTGGTCAAACTCACGGTCACTCGGAGTAGACCGACGGGCTTCAATAAGTTGTAAGGAGCATTTTACATCAGCAGGACGAATTATATTTAACCAGATGAAATGCTTACGAGTTGAGTTCATGAACAGATGCTATATCTTGTTTTGGCTTCCCCTCCTTTTATTTCAAATTACTTCTTCGCCAGCCGACATTAAACAAACTTAACATATCCCAGACACCACATGTGATGAAGTTTTACAGTCTTGTCAACAGATTTGTTATCTTTGTCATTTTAGGCCAAACCACAACAGTGCTCACGACATCTATGCAGTGCTCCAAAGACACAGTCAGGATCTGAGAACCTCCAAAGTTGATGGCTTGTTGTTCGACTTCATTTCCATTGTGATTTTTATGTCCTTGAAGATGTTGATCAGACTGTAGGTTTTTTGCAGCCCGTCTTTAGTGATGCAAAATCTGTCATCCACATAACGAATCCACATTTCTTATTTGGTCACTGGTGTAATCGAGGCTTCCAGTCTCTGCGTCACTGCTTCTGCATTAAGTCCTGATATTCGATATCCCATTGGTGTTCTTTTCGTTTGTTCGTAGGTTTGTTTGTTGAATTAAAACTACGTCGTTAGCGGTAAATCAATGAGTTCTAGTAGACCTTGACTTTGAAACTTCGTGTGCTTTGGGAAATTTGTGTCGTTGGTGAGAAACAGGAATAGGGTTTCCTTTGCTAAGCTTGGTTCTATTGAAGTGAATGAAACTTACATTGAAGGATATCATCAGTTCATCGTTGTTGATTTGAATCTACTTAAGCTTTCTTAAGAATTGTATTGGATATTTGGAATAATGAAATGAATCCTTTAAATGTTTCAATATTATTGAAATTTCGATAAATTGTATATTAAGGTTCCGGGGAGTGATCAAATTTAAAGTAGTGGGATGTTGGGTTTGTGTAGTTTCGGTCTATTGTAGAATCACCAAAGTGTAAACTTACAGCTTACATATGTTTTCTACCTCGACAGACATCGATTAATGTAAAGTGGATCGCTGCGTATTGATTAAGTTTTTTTAATATATTTAAGCCTGTTACGTCTCGAAGTATCGGCTGCCGACCAGTGGTCTCCAAGAAACTCTATCCGGTAATATTCTTTGCAGTCTTGATTTCTGACTTCAGTTACCGAGATTATGTGTTCTTTGGTCTGCATTTTTCCCTTTTGATCTTAGCTTGAGCTTGTCTTGTGAGATACAGTCTAATGGTTTTCACAAAGTGTGTTCTATCCACCTCCAGCGTCTTTTCTTGATTTCCTCCACCTCTGGTTGCTGACTTATTCTCTTTCAGAGTAGATTATTGTTGATGGTCTCTAGTCAATACATTTGGGGTCACTTGCATAGACAGCTCTTTATGAATACTTGTACTTTTTGGTGATTTTGGTAGCAACTCTCCAGGTTTCAGCTCTGTATAATAGCACTGTCTTAAAGTTAGTGTTAGAAATTGTGACTTTGGTTTTGTCTGAGAGTTGTTGTAAGTTACGTAAATTCTCTGATTGTAGGGATGTTGCCCTTCATTCTCTAACTCGTTCCTTGATATATGCGTCAGATCATCCTTGTTTGTTATTGGTAGTGCCTATATGTGTAAAGTTTTCCATCTCTTCAAGAACGTCACGATCAAGTGTGGTTTTGTTGGGTCTCTGTGTGCTGTATTTTAGGATCTTGGTTTATCCATTGCGGAATTTGGCGCTTCACTGGTTTTCTTCGTCTGCATTTGTTTCTGTGCGTGGAATAGAAAGGTTAAGCCACCTAGAAATCCAAATAACGCTGCTGTCTATAATATTCACTGTATCATGTGTTTTTCCCAAGCTGTGAACCCACTTAGTAACTAAAGGAAAAAAATCTGAAGTAGTCAGTCTTCACTTGGAATACATCTGTGAGCTGTCCTCCATTAGTGACTTTATAATTCAGTCCGTCGTAGGAGTTTTGTATGGTGGTGGCTATCTTTCCACGCGCTCCATATTGTTAAAATAGGTTCCATTAAGTTCTCCTATCCACACTATTAAATGCTTTCTCATAGTCACACGATTTCGTCGGGAAAATTGCAACCGACCTCATTTCTACTGTGAGTAGGCGTACATAAATAGATGAAAATGTATGTTCATAGATGTAACTTTTTACAGTTACTGAGGTAAGCTTCATATAAATTCACTTATACTTTACTCATCTTTGGATCAAATAGTATAAACATGTATATATTTTTCTACCTCCATTTATTTCACTGTTATGATTTTTGTTTAACATACCATACCTTTTATTCAGTGTTTGATGTGTCGAATCGTGAGAGCTTTGATCATCTGACCAGTTGGATGGAAGAGTTAAAAACTTATTCAGACAATCCAAACATGATTAAACTTCTTGTTGGAAATAAAATTGATAATGTAAGTTTTTATAAAATAATCAAATATCTACAAACATGTACTTTTAATTAGACAGTTTTTTCATCATTATTTAACATTTTCTAGTTGTCCATTAGTAACCTATTAAACTAAAGTATTAGGCTTGATAATAATATCTGTTGTTAAATTATACAGTTAATAAAAGGAAAAAGTGAAAAAGAATATTCTACTTTCCTACTGGCTTTAATTTGAGATAATTAAAATTCCAATAGTTGAGATTATGAGTCAATTGAAGCTAGACCACCATGGAAAACCTGGAAGCACTAGACGGCCGTTTCGTCCTATTGTGGGACTCTTCAGCAGTGCGCATCCACGACCCCACCTATCCGTCGACTACGTCGACGCATAGTAATGGCTGGTGTAGAAGTATGTTGGAAGTAAGCTATAGGTGGTCAAACCAACACATGGCATATGTCCGTGAAAATACAGAGTATTGGACTGAGTCATTTAGGTAAATGCGGACTACCTGGTTGTGGTCCGCATGATTATTGTAACCAATGGTTATGACTTTGGTTGACATCAATTCACTTTTTGTATTCCCTTGTATTCTAAGTTCCCTACAAATTTTATTCATTTGATTAATTTAAGTTTTGTTTCATCGCATCTTAGATGCCTGGTCTTTTCTATTATCATTACTACCTGTATTACTGTGGGATTTGCCGTTGTGTTTATGGGTTGTAGAAACATGAACCGATGTACACTTGTCAGGTTTCACATTACGTATAATTGACTGGCCGATACTTAAAACACTTATTGCCTAGGTATTGTATGAACTGTGATTTTACGGTTCCATCATGTTACATCTGGCATACCTAAAGTTATTGATACGACCGCGGCTCTTGTGCTACTATAAAGTAATCCCGGAGCGTTTAAATAAAATATTGTCTTTTATGTAGAATTGTAAGTTGTAACACCACTTATATATCTCAGTTGTAAACACTATAATGCTAGATTCCTTTGTCCAGCTAACTTTGGATATCGAAGCGCTAGTTTTCAATCCCGACTTCTAGCCACATTTCATTGATATCACTTGACTTCCCCTTAATTTCTCCGAACCTCCTGAATACAACTATTTTCATGATCATGGAATGCTTTAGTATTAAAGAATTATCATTGGTATTATTTTTGTTTTTACTCTAGATTTCCCGAGAGATTTCTCGTGAAGAGGGTCTTCGTTTTGCCCGTTTATACAGTATGCCGTACGCTGAAACAAGTGCGAAAACCAGTGAAGGTGTTAATCAGCTATTTTCTGATGTTGTTACTAGAATTTATAATCATTCTGAATTGTGGAATCAAGGAAAAAAGCGTGCAATTAATAATTCTTCAAGTCGTGCTCACTTAACTGAACTTGAAGATAAACAGACCCGTAGTGGCTGTTGTTCATAATATTCGTAGATGTTTTGGTATACATTCCTTACACTTTGCGAATTCATGACTTCACTTCATTATTGAAATCTCTTATTTTATCCAACTAAATACTATATATGGTATACTATAATGGTTTACTGCTATTTTTTATGTTTTCTGATAACAGTTTATTACAAACTCTTTCTTTAAGTTTATAGTGTCACTCAGTATAAGGCTGTGATGTTATTTGTTAGCCAAAATTTTATGATGCTTTCATAGTTTTGCGCTGCTTTCCTTCATCTATTTTGACTAGATAAATATCTAAAAAATAGGTTGTTGTATGTCCTTTTTTCGTTGGCTGTTTCATTGTTTCTTTTTCAAAAAAAGATCAAAACAACTGAGACTATTTTCTTTATCCATTTAGACAGTTATTTTCTTTTCAAGATTTTTCTTGTTTATTTTATTGTACCTTTAAAAAATTTCAATATTTCCGTTACTTGCTTTGAAATTGATCACACTGTTTTATAGAATTTTTTCGTCAAAGCTAGTATTATTTCAGGTGATTTTCATATGGTTAATACTAAATCAAAAGCGGATTCGAACAATCCCACTGTTTAGTATATTCATTATTATGGAGTCAGTATTGATAAATCCGAAACCATTTGAGGTTCTTACATAACGACTCTACCTAATTGTAGTTGATGGAAATGAAACTGTCAAAGATTGTGCTAGTAAAAGAACTTGATTTTTGGAAAAGCTAAATCACTAGTAATCCCCTTTGGCTACTTGTCCAATACTCTGACAGTTGTAGCTGGGACTGCTCAACATAATTCATGTAGATCATTAGTCTTTGTTTCCTGGTGTAAGGCCAATGTGAAATACGGATTTGCATTATATGAAACTCGTTAGGGATTAAAGAGAAAAATCATTTGACGTATATGCATGGTTGTTCCCAGAAATCTAATTTTCTTACTGTGAATCATTGTAGTGATACTTTTTAAGTGATAGCTATGTAGTTTAGTATAGACCCTAATGTGTATAAACGTTTTAGAACCAATAAGGATGCCTCGAACAGTCGTCTGTGAATGAAATTAAATTCCGTACTTTTCTTAACATCTGGAGTTCAATGTGTACTATTTGTATTTCCTGGTAATACGAGTACTTTTGGGGTTGGATAATTCACATTTCAAGGATGTTCATGTATCATTGTAACGTTCACGAAACTGTAGATACCATGATTTGATAATCGGCCCTGCGATTCAGGAGCCCTTCGAAAGAGTTTTAGGATTCTTTGATTATTAATCAAGCAGTGAACCATACTCTCTATACGTATGGGGGAAACTGAAATTTTGTATAAATGTAAAATTATGTTAGTAACAATTCTTCTTGTTTTTTGCCCTAGTTGTGCAAATAAGAATGTTTAGAATTGACTTATTCTCTTTTTCTTATACAAAATTAAGCATCGCTCGCTAGTCTTACTTTCGAATGTCGCAATACGATTTTACCAAACTGACCTGCTGGATATCATATGTTTTCACCCCTTAATAGTGATGTTTTAGAAATAACTTGGGTTAAGAGAAGTTATTGTTGGAGAGGTTCGACAGAAGATAACCATTCTTTTTGGAGCAAATTGACTCCAACTGTCCTGTAGCGAGAACATTAGTTTTATTGTACGCGGAGAAGTCTCAACAAATTGACTCTTTGGGATTCAGCTCGAAGATGTAAAGTTAATGAATGTATTTAAGAAAGAATTAGGTAAAGAACTATTGGAAAAGAGTTCATCTCAAAGAAGATTTGTGTGATATCAAAACGCCTGGAAATACAACAGAGGTGTTCGTTAAGTACCTAAAAAATACTGTTAGGAAATATCGGGGGAACTCCCACTGAAATGATAGCTGCCCAGAAGCTCAACACATGCTCAGAGGTCGAGGTATTGCAAAGTTAACTCAAGCAGAATGAAAAAATTCACAGGATGATTGTGACCATTATTGGGCGAGGAAATCTTAGGAGGAAGAAAGAGCAACTGAGATATCTAACCAGACAAGTATTTGGAATGATCAAACATCATCCTTGTTAAAGATAAGGGTAGAGGGAGTTTGAAAATTAGACCTAATCTTGTCTGACTGGGCTCGACCGCTGACCGTCCCAATATGTAAGAAACGACAAAAATTCTCTTATGATAACCACTGAAGTATTGCTCTTGCTAGTATAATATTTAAAATGCTTCAGTAATCATCCGAAGTTGTCCATAGGTTTTAGGACAGAAACCAATGCTTTATTCTGATCGGTTTTCTCTTTCGGCTTAGAGGTTTAGTGGCAGTTTTTATCACTGGAGGAGGGACTAGAAAAGTATCCAGACCTGAAAGCTCCTCAATAAGAACTTCGCTGTCGAGTTAGAACTTACAGAGAACTGTAATCGAAAACTGAATTGCATTCGTCAGCGTTGCCTAATTTCTTCGCCCCTATTTAGCTCCATTGTCATTCTTTTTGAGATGCTCATCATCCAGCTTATCAGGGATTGATTTCCTACCTGACAACCTTCGCCTTCCCATCGTATTGTCGAGATATCAAATTAAAGTATGCAGATGACAGAGTTCTATTTAGTGAAGACGCTGACAAAATGCAGGGTGTTCTGATTTCTTTGAACAACAATACGAACATATTCGGGGTGCGTATCTTTGTTCTTAAATGTATAATGTTGCTTAAAGACTGCTCTGCATTAACAACTAAACTAATTATAGGGAGTGAATTAGTTGAGTGTACCGACCACTTCAATTATCTTAGTTTTAATAAACCTGTTGAGTTGGTGGCAAACGAAATCTAGGCACGGTGCTAGGAGACTCGATTGGCTTTCGCCAGCCTACGTTATTTGTGGTGCACCTGAAATGTATGTCTGTCAATGATGTGACGAGCACACTGTGCATTAGTTCATTCTATCTATCTTTTTCTATGGACATGTGTGACGACGGACCACCGGTGAACTCGAGGAAGCTGTAAGAGGCTCAGAAGGAGCCGAAGACGTTCCATCCAATCACCTTTCGGAAGAATGTTCTAGAATTCCAACGTGTAGCTTCCCCATTGGATAATGCTAATAACCCCCTGTACGCGGATTGGAAGACTTTAATGATGATTTCGTTCTCACTAAATAAATACCTGACAATTTTGTACTGTTTGACACTGTTTGGAATAATATTCCTTTCATTAGTCTTTTGTCTTCTTACTGCGACTTGGAAGGGTTTTGGTGTTCTAGTGCTCAGTTATACGCGGTAGTATCAAGAAAAATCAGTTTTTCAAGATATAACAACATGATACTTGGCTAATGAAGGTAAAAGACGTCAATAGTCTTCAAATAAGTATATGATTATATGTATTTCCGAAGCATTGTTCATGTATAGTAATACAACCAAGTGAACAGTTACGAGCTGTGGTCGTGTGGCATGGCAGAATTTTTGTATCTGGCTGCACAGACTAACATAAACATAACAAGTGTGTAAATATCGTGCTGTATGCATGATTAGATGGCCTTGAATTCGGGCCTGTACGGTGTTATGAAAGTCAGTTGTCGCGGACCCTAAAGTAGGGTTCAAGCAACCCTTCACTCTCTGATTTTCAATCGTCTCACAGATAACGTCATTTTGCAACAAAAATAATCTTTAAATTGTTCCGTTCTCAGTAAATAATATATGGGTCTATTATACAAGTTGCAACCTCTCACAATATTCTCACTGTGTGCTAAAAATTAGCGAAAAACACTTCTCTAATTCTCTTTCACTTAATATTATTAAAAATCTGAAAAATAATCCCGGTAGGATGCAAATGATCAATGTATGAAAATTAGCATTTTAAGAAAGCATGACAGGAATTCAAGTTCAATCTAAGCATACACACAAAGTACTGAAAAGTGAAAATGTTACATAATAAACTATCTTTTTTTAACAGTTTGTTATAATGAGTTCACCTGTAGACAGTCTTTTACACTTAATGTCATATTTTACATAAACACTTAACATAAACAAAATGTTTGTCATAGTAAAAAATTAGAATTATAAACATAATCAAATAAAGTAGGATGATAATGATGATGATGTAAAACGATTTTTTTAAAAATTCAAGTTACAGTATCATAACAACACAAAATCCGGAATTAAAAATTCATGAATTAATTATACTTTCTCTGATCGTACAATAATTATATACAATGATTTCATTTTAAAGCAATATATAATCAGCATTACTATGTCGTTGTTGTTCACCTGAAGTTAATTGGTTTTTTGCAGTTACAATAATTGAAGAGGTTTTATGTTTAGGCTTTTGAGATGATAATGATAATCCATATGTTTGTAGATCATTAAACACTTTCTTTTTTATTGTATTGTATCCTAGTTGTCAATGTTGTATTGTTTTGTGAAAAGAAGAATAAGTATCAGTGATTAGCTTGCATTTATAGTGCTATTAGTTAAACATAATTAACATCTCATCCATGTCAGCAGACAACAATTCTTGTAGATATTCAAAAACCCTTCTATTCCTTTATAGGTATACCTTGTTAAACATCGGGGAATCTCTGTTAATTATTGATCCCAGGTAGTGACTTTCCATTTTAAGTAGTCTTTTGGTTAATTAAGTATGTTTTGCTTTGACCAAATTATTTGAATAGTACAGGCTACTAAGCTAACGTGATGAAGGAAGAAGTCTATGGAGATTGTCTAACTTAAAGTTAGTTTATCTGACAAAATAACACCTATTGTTAGGAGTTGTAAAGATTGTTGAACTTTATTGAAATCATGAACCGATTCAAGTTAGACCACCATTGGAAACATGGAAGTATTTGATGAACGTTTCGTCATACTATGGGACTCTTCATCAGGGGGAATTCACAAGCCCACAGGATTTCAATGGTGGTCGAACTTAGATGGGTTCACGATTTCAATAGGATCGATATGTATTAAAAAACCATAGGGCATTGTAAAGTTATTCCTCCTGAGAAGTTCGGAATCACCATTAAACACCTATTTATTGTTATGCGGATTTCCCTTATTCTCCTCTAATGTTAGTCTGTAATGCTATTGAATATACAGCTTTAACTCATATGAAGCAAGTGAATATATTTTTATATTTGAGTGCAGTAATACGACATATTAGAATTGGAAAATAAAGTATTCTTATCAAAGAATAACACAAATAATTAGTCCAAGAAAATTATAAGTAATTTACCGGACTCAAACTTTAACTAAATCATCGAAGTTTTCTCATTTAGGCTAATCATCCAAACACCACTATCGTTATCTCGTAAAAATAAAGTCAGTTTATAACTGTAATCAGTCTGTTGCAAGAACTTGTGATATACATATGATACAGATCCTTCATGTAACGCCTTATTGCAAAATGAACATCAGCTCAGCCCAAAATTGATAAGATTGGAAATATTTAGACTTAATATGGTTAATAAAAGGATCTTCTACAGACTTTAATGTGAAACATCATTAATACTAAATTTCTCTAAGGTAACTTTTTCTATCACAATATACACCATTTCAAGAAATAATATACATTAAGGAGCACTAAACATTTATTTCATTCTATATTTAGGAAGAAGTTTTCAATATTATACTTCTATAGGAAGTCTGATCCAAAATGTTCAGACCTATAGTCTTTGACATTGTCAGAAGTCATCATAGTTCACTTTTGTGGAATTCCAGTCTAGGGAGAAACAGTTGTCTAGTGTCACCTGGTTTTCTGTAGGTAATATGTGCTCATAGAAGATATTTCCACATCTAATAGGATTTACAAGAATCTATTCCCAATTTTTTAAAGCTGTTTGATTAGTATGAAGATTACTATGAACTGATCTAAGAAATGTTTAATTTTCAATATGTGCCATTTAGTTTCGTACCTTACCGTAGTCACTCATTTTTATCGGGAGTCATCCGATAACCAACCATATGTCTGAAATTAAACAATCGATTAAAATAGTCTTAACAAATTATACAGTATGATTAATCAATCTAATCTCAACTATCATTCTTAGACTTAAATTAACTGTTACATTTTGATATAAATATACTGCTACTTGTCATCTGACAATTGCAAATTTTTGATTTTATTTAACTTATGAAAATCAGTACCTAATTAGAGGCTTACGAAATCAACATTGAGTCATAATTTTAATAATGTTAACTAGCAGTCTCCATATCCATCTATTTAAATTAATGAATTGTTATTCAAACCTGTCATTACAACAAATGATTCACTATATCCAAGTATTCTTTTGATAAATCGATAAAGTGAGAATTAAAAAAATAAGTGAAACCTTCAGATTATATTTACTTGTTACTACTTATCTTTTTGATTAGCTGATTGCTTAATTGTGTTAATAGTGCAATACATTTTAATTTTAACTTAAAAAATATATATGTTGAACATAAAATGTACCTATTTATCTTTATGAAAGGACTATAACGTATAACGATGTTAAAATACAGAAAAATACGAGAGGAGACATACTCAGTAAAACTTTTGTAACTCATTCACTGTTTTTCTGATTGCTATTAATACCATCTATATTGTTTATGAAATAGAATTACGTGAATGTTTTGTATTGTCACGATAAAGATAGTATTCATTTATTAATCTTTTGTGAAACATAAACTTGGAATCTTGAAGGGAAACAGTAAAGGGGAAGGCCAAAAAACACATTACGTTGGGAAATAGAAGCAGATATGAAAAGGATGAATAACAACTGGAAAGAGCTGGAAAGGATTGCCCAGGACAGTGTTGGATGGCAAGTGCTGGTGGGCGGCCTATGCTCCTCTACGAGGAGTAACAGGCGTAAGTAAGTAAGTAAGTAGTGAAACATAAACAATATTTGAAAAAGAATGAATAAATAAATATAGTAAAAATCTATCCTGATTGAAAATAATCTCTAAAAATGAATATTTATTATAATAGAGAAAATTGTAATGACTGTAATGCATTGTAATAGACAAGTATTAGATAACAAGATAAATATATGTTTAATCTATATTATCCATACTCACAATACTTAACTGATATGAGAATTAAAGATGAAAAGTTGGGATTGCATGCAGTTTAACATTGCTTTTGTTATATAACAATGAATAAATTTATCATTTTCATTAGTACATTCTCTTCAATAACTTATAATAATATTCACGATGTAAATAGAATGGATTTTTTTCAGAAAAAAAATCATTAAGATCACATTCTTGTGTTAAACAACTTACTGTCTCATAGATAAAATGAAAATTTTATCGTATATGAAACACAGTTCAGGAATAATGATTCAATTATTTAAATAAATAGCTGGAAAAATGATGACCTAATACTAACGTACAAACCCGTTCACTTCTAAAACGAACATACAGAATGTGTCTTACGGTTATGTCAATATCTAAAATAGTATTTAGTTTGTATTTCTAATTTTATGGGTGAAAAGATTCATACTATGAACTAACAGAACAAGTAACTTTGGTTATTTTTGTTATTTCAAATAACTGTGTGTAAAATCAATACAAATAGGTGGGTGATGAAGAAAATCAGCAATGTGTCATAAAACCCTGACTGATTATTATTTCATAGTTCCATATAGTCATTATCATAATATATCCGACACCCAAAGCTTATACTTTTTACTGCTACTGCACTAGACGGCTGTTTCATCCCGGTATGAGGTCTCTCAGTGATGTGGTCGATGACTTTATTGGAGATCGCACACAAGACCTTGAAGCCTCATGGTGATCTATTAACCTTCAGACCACTGATATGGCATGTGATGGTATTGCGTGATCATTTTCCATTACCTTCGGTGGATAGGTGCCTCATAACTGACATGGTTAAACTTGAATAATGCTTCTCCTCAAAATCAAAATTACGTTATTCACCATTAAAGTTACAGTCATTAATAACAAGGTGTCCGGTCAATGATTTTATTTGTATAGAATTGAATAGTTCCAGTAGTTTTACCTTTTGTTAATCAATATTGACTGACCAATCGATAATTCAATGGACTTTAATCGACACACTCAGAAACTTCAACATGAGAAGCATTCACAATTCATTTCAATCATCCACAACTAAAACATTAATAAAAAGTCTATCAACTATGCCAAAATGTATTGACATCTTAATTTTACCTTCCATCAGTGTCTATTTTTAAAGTGTCTCAAACTAAAGTAAAAACATATTTTCAGTGTTTCTAGATAACCAGTAGTTTTCTAGTTCCTGCTACATCATCTAACGAACACTAGCTTCAAAATAAACAATTTTTACAAACCCTCTAATAAATTAAAATTATTAATTTGGATATAGAATTGTACAGCCTGAAGATAATTTAATGAAAAGAATGTTTTTCGTTCATAAATCTGTGTTTAGCAAAAAATTATGGACAAAAGCAAAATAAAATTGCATGTTGATTGAAGCAGTATTGAATTCAAATAAAGTGAATCAAAACCTACCTTCATTCTCATTTTGAATCTGTACACCATTTAATTTTGGATTATTATTTTTATCCCAATGATTAGTTAGAATAAAATTATCTGTTCGTCTGAAAGGTGTAACATCTTCTCGATCACTTTCAGATGAACTTGACTGAGATTGATCTGTTAAACAATGAAGAACAATTATTCGATAATAATAAAATCAAACTATCTATTCTGAATTAAAGGTCAATTTTCAGATTGCAATTAAGATATTCATTCTTCTGATGCTCTGGGTAAAAACAATAACTGTGTCACATTTATATTTTATAAAAATGACATATGATTATATAAGCATTATACATGCAGTAATTGGTATAAATATCATTTCGGTAACATGTACTTTAGCTATGAGACACGTTTTCTGTCTGAGAATTAATGACGCAAACGGAATGTTAAATGAGAACTGAGTAGTGCATGATTTGAATCTAGCAACGCATTTGTTTTATCAGCTTCCTGTGGTGAAACAGTTTTGAAATATACAACTACACATTAAGACTTAAGAAGAATGCTCGATACTCCTTTGTACAGCTGAATAATACAAACTTGTCATTCTATTCATGTTAGCTTAAAGAAATCGTCAATCGATTTTTCCATCTTAATCTTTCACTTTGATTTGATTCAGTAATTTAGATTACAGATCTATTAAAAGGGTTATTGTTAGTGAAAATGATTACTTCACATAAAGATTGATTAAAGAAACAATTAAATGATTGAAAAAATTCTTTTACCACAGAATTTAACTGAAATAAATAAACAAAGTGTCTTTCTTTAATTTCAACTTCACTTAAACATGCTACGATTTTAAGATCAACTAGAATTCTTTTTACGAAGAAGCATATAACATTATAGAAAAGATAAATTGACGACCGATTCATCTTTCCTTACAAAAGATCACTTTACTTTATAATACAGGATTATTTCGATTTCAATTTAACGCCTACATATGGTTGATAAAAAGACAATACTATAAAAGCATTGGGAAAAATATTTGCTTGTCGTTCTTGAGAATATTTTAACTAACAACAGTGAATCTGTCTATTCAGCATCCTTTCTTACAGTAAATCAACCTGTAGGCATAAAACTGATGCTTAACGTCGAAAATTCCGCCATTCTTCAATGTTGATCTGTCTAAAGATATTACCAATCAATTCAAAAGTTCATTTTTTTGGGGTATTCTATGTTTCTTATCAAACAACTGATATATACCAGGTGATTAACAATTAAACAATAATCAGTATAGAGTTGTGGAGATTGTTGAGCTTTTGATTGAGATACTGAATCGATCAATATTAGAGCACTAATGAAAACCTAGAAGCACTGAACAGCCGTTTCGTCCTAGTATAGAACTCAGCAGCGCACATCCACGATCTCGCACGCCAATGCTTAACCTCTAGACCACTGGGCTGGCACCCAACGGTGTTAATGTCTAACTTTAACCAATCCATGATATTGTGCGACCGCCGAGGAGTCCTACCCTATAATGAAACGGCAGTCCAGTGCTTCCAGATTTTCAATGGTGGTCTAACATTGATCCATTCATTATTTCAATCGGAACTAAACAATCGTATAATTTTCTTTTTTTATTAAAATAACACATAGAAAAATGTTTAACATGAAATTCGTGCACAGATACTGAATAGACGCAAGGACATTACTCACTGAAATCGTTGTTGTTTGTATTTTTTACAATATTTTTCGAATTATCGGTTTGTGATTGAGAGTTTGAGTGTGAATGATGGTTTTTGTATGGTTGTTTAAGTGTAAAAGCATTTGAGTTCCTAGGAGAGAAATGAGAACAAGAGATAAAAGTAAACACGCTGAATTATTGTGACCATTATTCAAAGATACTATCATGTTTTGACCATTGTAGCAAAACTATAGCTTGTAAATTACATATCGATTACTAAGAGAGTAAAGTAGGAAAAAGTATTTCACGCATATTTTACAAATGTACTTCATTTATGTGATGCTGATACTTCTTAATTACTTACTCCTGTTACCCCTAGTGTACTATAGGCTACCAACCAAGAAGAATTCCATGGAAGGCAAATATGAGTCAAAATTAGGTACTGTCTTTGGTAGAAATAAGTCTAAGAATTATAAATTTTATCAAATTTACAAAAGAAGGAGGAAAATAAGTAATTTTGAGTTTAATAATGACGACTAACTTCATAAGTCACCACTAAACAATCAGAAAAAAAAGCAAACTGGATTTGCATACTTAACTCTGTTTACCTTACCAACTGGATGGATGATAGATTTTTACAATTCGAGACATTATATATCTGATAAAAGTTTGATATCTATTTAAATAGCTTTAGAATAAGTGTATACAACTAAAATCATATTAAATTTTTATATTCAGCTACAATTTATTGATGTTTTGAGAGAAACTAAGGAGTTCTCACCGGTTTTAGCATTGATTTATTTAAGTTGATTTAAACTAAAGAAAAAAAAATTAACAAATCAAGTTGATTTTAACCTCAGTTAATAAAATTAATCGATTATGTACGTGTAAGACATACCATAAAGAGAAAATTATTTTAGAATATAAGATTTCCACTGTTACGTTTAAGAAGTCACTTTTATAATTTCTCATTTGTGCCAAAAATTATATCTGGTCAACCGGTGATAACACATAGATTATTTCATCGCAAAGCCATGAAATAATTCAGTTCATCAAGATGGAGAACGGTATGATATGTTAATGTATCCTAAGATGACCTGATTCCAACTGATTAAGATTTGATAATAACATACATTTATGTAATCATCACACTTCATTTACAGTTTCTTTCTATGATACATAAACTGAAAGTATAATAATAATAATAATAATAATAATAATAATTTTAACTCCATAGATAAATAATCGCTATGTGTGATTTTAGAAATTGTAGTTGCTTTATATGTAATGTGTTTTTAAAACCTATAATTGGTAATTATAAAAAAAACGTAAATGTGATTCATTTTTTTTAAATTAAGGAATTCACATACCAAATTTCTTGATCAACAAAATCAGGACTAACATTGTGATTAGTTACATTTCCTGTAGATGATTTAATCCAGAAGAAAAAATCCAATCGCATTCAGTGAAAATATCATAGTTGAAGTTAAAAACAAAAACAAACAAATAAACAAAATAATGTATTAGTTAAATCATTGGACGAAATAGGAAGTAAATAGATTCCTATTCTATTTATAAGAGTAAGAAGAAAATTGGTTACAATATGAAAAATGAAAATCAGAGCAGTCAATAATTTTTAACTACTTACTTAAATTAAAATAGAAGGGAATAAACAAAAACTGCCATAACAATCAAACAAGGAAGTGAATTGACTATAATCTTGAATAAATTGTAACTAGAGCAAAATGTCATTCGAACAATTGTAAATTATGTTAAATAAATCATAAAACAAGTATAATTACTTTGGAAGAATGTAAAATTCATGATCTTATTCCTGCTTAATGAAAATTTACTTACTTACGTCTGTTACCACTCGTAAAGGAGCATAGGCCGCTCAACAGCATTTTCCATACAAATCTGTACCGGGTAATCACTACTAGTTGTTACCGGTGGTTATTCATCTTCTCGATGTCCACATCCAATTCTCGACGTACTGTATTCTTCTGTCTTCCTTCCCCTTTTCTGTTTCCTTTCAGAATTCCAAGTTAAGGCTTGCCTCGTGACGCAGTTTCATGATTCTCGCAACGTATGTCTTATCCACTTTTAAAGTTTTTTCCTAATTTCCTCTTCAGACAAAGCTGGTTTGTTCTCTCCCACAGTAGGTTCTTGCTGATCGTATCCAGACAACCGACATTCAGCACCTTGTGTACACAATTGTTTATAAATACTCCTACCTTCATAATGGTGGTTGTGGTAGTTCTCCAAGTTTCAACCCCATGCTGTAGAACTGTCTTGACGTTCGTAATGAAGATTCTGACTTTGATGTGGGTTGGCAGTTGTTTCCAGTTCCATATGTTCATCAACTGTAGTAATGCTGTCCTTGCTTTGCCAATACTTGCCTCCACATCTGCACTATATTCTCCTTGTTCATCAATGATGCTGACCAGGTACGCAAAAGTTTCCACATCTTCCAGAGTTTCTCCATCAACTGTGATTTGTCTGGTTGGTGTTCTCTGTGTTGTATTTGAGGATGCTTCTTTTCTCTTATGTATGTTGGGACCCACTAACTCAAAGTTTGCTGTTACACTGTTTGTCTTGACCTGCATTTGTTGGTGTGTGTGTGAGAGAGAGAGTGTGAGAGAGAGATAGAAGAGCCAGGTCATCTGCAAAGTTCAAATCATTTAGCTGCATTTAGACTGTTCATTGTATTCCGTGTTTCCGCTCAGATGTGGAGATCTTCATGATCCAGTCAACGACCAGAAGGAATAGAAAGAGTGCAAGTAGTCAGCCTTGTCTGACATCGATCTTTACTTAAAATGGGTATGTTAGCTGTCCAGCATGCACAACTTTGCACTCAAGTCCGTAGTATGAATTCCGGATGATGCTGATGATCTTCTCAGGTACGCCACAGTATCGAAGATGTTTCCATAATGTTCTCCTATGCACACTGTCAAACAGTTTTTCACAATGAACAGTGAATAAAGTTTAATTATAAATACATCAGTTGTAAACAATTACACTTTCGCACACCATACTACAAAAATGGATGCTTTTATCATGACAGATCAAATAACTCAATAACATGTTGTAAATTGTAGATAAATCAATAGATGTGGAGTTCCATAGTCAGATTAAAAATTAAAATAATTCTGTCACTCTAAAGTACATTTTTTATGAACACCCAGATGGAAGATAAAACATAAATTATACCTCATCATAAATAAAATACTTTCGAAATATATTTAAGGACTTCAGAACAGAAAACCTAAAAAATTGATTTATTTGCTGCGTAACAATATTAATATATGTTTATGTCCTCTGGTTTATTGGAGGTATGCTTATCAATAAAAATAACATTCACCAGAACAGAATTTATTTGAGATAGCTAAAATTGATCAGATAGTAGCCTTAGATCTACAATTCAATCTAGCTGTTACTCATAAATAAAGTTTATCTTTAATGCATAGAAGGTAGCTGCTTGTATACAGATTTGAATGACTTTATATTTTGTGGAATATTTAAACTCACATAAATATAATGTTTGCTGGAGTGTTGTGATATAAGATAATGTATTTGAAGCTTATTACCTAGGTTGAAATACATATAAACATAATACAGAGGATGTTAAACTATCCAAGGAACTGGTCACTGATTACGTTGTTATTTTTATTTCTGAAATTTATATTTGTTTTTCACCCCAAAACATTCTATGAGAGCTATCTTTTCGTTTTACGACATTTAAAGACACTATTTTGTTTATTAATCCGTGACTTTCAGTATGATCGAATTCTCCTGTTTTCAGGGCCACTATATTTGTATTTATATACTTATTACTCACCCAAACTATATTTTTTCAGTCTCTCCTAATAAATCCTTGTTGTAAGATATGACTTTTGGAGTAGCCTGAGCTGTAAGAAAAGAGGGAGTAGTAGTATCCAGTTATCAAGGCGAAAATAAGATTTATTCCAATTAATTCAAGATTCAGCATCTAATCACATCTAAATTAGTCAGATAATGATAAATTGTCTTGATATTCATTTTTAGTGCACGAATATGATGGTGCCAATGGTATATTGAGCATAACAATTAACTTGTTAAATAACATTCATTTACCACAGAAACTATATTCAAACAACAATCTATTTTCTTAATAGATGTATATTACATTTACTACAATTGAGCAATTGTATGTTTAACAGTTTACAATAAAAATTAAGGCTAGATAATTTCATTACTTACCAAATTCATTGCGTGACACTCTAACTTTTAAAGCAGCCATTTCAAAACATGCTGGAATGGCTCGATTATCAGGTTCAACGAATTTTGATTGACGTGAAATATTACCGGAATTTCGTTGTGCTTCTCGTTGATTCATTGATTCTTCATGACTTTTATTTATTTGTATTTTTGAATCTGAATCTATGTTGTCATGGTCTGAATCTATAGATAATAGATTTTTAAAAGGGGATACAAGTAAATATTTCAAAAAAACGATGTTGGCGAATATTGAAATTCGCAAAACAGATAGTGAAATTTGTTACTTTCAAAAGTTATACATAATAAAGTCGATCTTATTTCAGCATGATAAAAACGAGTTATTTTTTGACTGAAGAATCAAGTTATCTATTATTTCATCTCCCGAGCACTATTTAATAAAGACTGAAGGTCGATTCAAGGTGGCTACCATTATTAATGTTTTGCAGCACTTCTATTTCCTTTTTTGATTTAATTGCTTGTGTCAAGCGTAGGATATTCTGTGGATCAAATATGTTGATGCTCAGAAAACTACCATTGCATAATTTATTTCTCGGCGTTACCTTAGTTCATTCGTCACCTTTTAAGATAAATCTTGCAAATAGCATTTTACTGAAACATATAGAATTGGTATGAGCTATGTAACCGATGGTTAAATTGGAGTGTGTGCTACTTATAATAACATAAGTAGTATATGATGTTAGTCGTGAACAGAAGGTCTGGCAGCAGAGAGACAAGAGGATCGAACAGTAAAGGATGGAAACAGGATGCAATGTGTATGAAAATGCGAGAACAATGACGTCTGAGTCATTTTGAGACAATCGATGGACATTTTGCAAATTAAGCCTTTACTTTATGATTGTTAGATTTTATTAACAAGTCCTGTAATTTTGTGTTAAATATATTCAGTTGTCCCCACCATGGTTCTTTTCACTACAAGCTTACTCATTAGTACCAAAAACAGGGAAAATATATATTAATGCCTTGATTTAACATTTGAAGTACCAATAATAAGCCAAAAATCAAAGAAACATATTAATAAATTTCTATAATATGTAACTAACTGGTCAATTTAACTGGTACATAACTATTATAAAACCTTTGAATGAGAAATTCACCCATAAACTATAATAGTGAATAAAATTTAATACACACTTGTAGTGAACAAAGACGCTACACCACACACTAACTTTGAAATGAATATTGACGAACAATATATATATATAATCAGTATAAAAAGGTTGATGGACTTATGAATTATATTTCCTAAAGAAGTATAGAGAATAAAGAGATCAACATTTGGATAATTACTTACTATTACAACCTAATAAAAATTACAACGTATAGTTATGTTAAGAATTCTCTTCTAAAAAACAATTTAATATTATTGCCAGTTTCTTCAAACATTGATTCTGTGATGAATTTATTGTTTAATAAGATGTTACATCGAATGTTTTAATTTTCGAGTATATTTATTACTAACTCTTCACTCAATGCTAAATTTATTTGAAACTATCAAGTACAACCTTAAGATTGACAACTATATTATTTAGATTACCATTATTAGTATAAATATTTTTTATTAGAAGTTAATACTTTTGATCGGTTAAAAAATAGTAGTATCATATTTCGAAATCAGCTGAAGCGATTTTGAATGACATAGTGGTTGCACATAGTTATGTTATTTTATCAAGGAATAATGATTGACTCGACAGATTCATTGTTGTCAGTATGAATGTTACTCAACTAAACAGTTGTATAGATCAGTAAACTTGAGTTCTTTACAGCCGATTGTTTTTGGTGATTGCAAAAGTTATAGGACTTAAACAATAATAGCTTGTCAAAAAGTTCACTAAATCAGTAGAAGTCCCATCATTCACTGAAATTATTAGTTAAAAATAAAGTTAATTTTTGATTATATTAAAGTTTCAACAGCCGACCCTCAGTTAAATATCTAATTATTAAAATAAATTTGAACTAATGAAAATTTTTAACATGATACTAGGCTTTTACAATTTCTAAAAAATAGTAGATCTATGTGCTATGTCAATTCTAAAAAAGTGGTAGAAAAATTAACATCAAACTTGTAGTTACTTAAAGAATCCTTTTTTTATACACCTCAGTGATGCTTCATGATGCATGATGCTTGTCCTTGATATAGCAAAAACACCGAAGTCCTGTATAAATTTAAAAGCTGGAATGTTTCATTACACTAGTTTAAGCCATGAACCATAAAATGTGTACATATGCAAACTTCCTAAGTTTAAGGCTTATTAAACGATCAACTGTTCCTTTATTCCAGATTCCATTCAATGAATAGGACTTGATCATAAAATAATTCGGTATACTATTGTTCGTCGTACGGTAAGAACAGCGAAACAGTAATGACTGAAGTATATGATCTAGCTTTAATTAATTGATAATAAGAAGAGTTTAATCGTGAAATAAAAGCGAACAATGTTTTTTCATTAATGAAGTTTTATTACTCATTAGTAGCGTAAATGTAAACACAATAGTCTTCAAATCAATGTATGTTGACCGTTACGTGTATTCTATCCAAAAATTTGTTCATTTAGCGTGAAAAGAAAATGCTGCATATTAGAACTTTTTATATGAGATATCATCCAGTTTCCTTTTCTTTTTAACCTAATCTCTTACCTAAGACATACATATGTATTAATTTTCTTATTTCATCGATAGTTACTATGAGAAACTACACTATATAAAATATTTTCAAGTATTTAAAAAAGAAAACCTTAAAAATCACTTAAATGAATTTTCATTTCGATTTATTACAAAATAAAACATAAATTTTTTAACAGAATGAAATTCAATTGATAAATTTCTGATAATAACTGCAGTTTTTCAGTTGAAAAAATGTTGTGATTATTATTAACTTGGAATCAAAAAGTTGAATGTTTGTCTAACTTTCATACTATAATTTCTTGTTCTAACTAGTAATGAATATACACTTTTGGTATGTATTTTAACCCTGTTGGAATGACAGTTTGGTTTAGTAACTAAAAAAGGTATATATATATTTGAATTTCTAGTAAATACATAACAAAATGTAAATATGTCAAGTTAATTTATTGAGTATTCATAACATCAATGAGATGGTACAATTTATTTTGTAAAGTATATTTTTCAGTTTATACAATTAGTAAAGAAAACGTAATAAAATACTAGTGACATAACATAAATAACACAAGCAAATTATATTTGATAAGTAGTCATAGCATAATGTAAAAAATCATTTTCAGAAATAATATCAAAGTAAATAAAGAAATGAAAGTTAATTACCCATAATTGATTTTTCTTCTAATGCTCCAGGTAGTTGAAAAGTAACAGCTCTAGATTTAGTTGGTTTGAGAACTTCATTAAAAAATTTGGAACTTGAACCATCTTCTATAAAATTTCGTTTATCATGATTAATAATACTATTATCATTGTTTAAAAGAAGTTCACAACTTTCGGGATAATATTTTTTACTTTTTTGTTGAAGACAAAAAGAATCAGGATCTTGTTCCGTATTATTGTTTGAGCTAAGAAGACAAGATTTTTGCTTGTTAGTTTCGTTAGTAACAAATGTTGTGCGTACCATATCAGATAGACTTGGATGAGATAATGACCGGGTTAATTCTGACGCACAAACAATAACTTTATCTCCAGTAGAACAAGCAGCAATAGATTGAATAGATCTGGGTGAACTTGATTCAGATAAAGTAGGTGAAGCTGCTGATGAAGAAGTCATTGGTGAGAAAATAGTTTTTAAACATTCATTTTCTTGACTAAGATCATCATCTTCAAGTTCATCTAGAGATTTTCGAGGTGCACAGATAAGTCCCAAAGCAAATACTAATATTAAAGGGATTAATCCTAATGCTGATAAAAACAAAATTTGAGAAAATTACTTACAAAATTATAAGTAGATTATTGTCTGGTTTAATAAGATAAATTGTTAATGATTGAAAATTATTTAGAAAAAAATAAAATATTATGATGAAATTGTCATCATTACTAAACTATGTATATTCATTTCAACATATTGTCTTTTTTTCCAGATGTTTCACCATATAAAGATGAAATAAAACTACTGATTGAAATTTATGCAAGAAATGCTAATTTATTTTCTGATATACCATTTCATGATATATATACATAAATTACCATGATAGAATAAGTTAATACATAAGAAAGTAAATCAGTCTATAATCAACATAATCAGCATATATTTTCCTTATTTATCTTCATGATGAATATTCAAGCCTTTAACAATAAAACTATTATTAACTTCCCTGATAAAAAGATAATGTTTTTTATGCCTTTGTTCGATCTACCTCACTATTATCATGTTTAATAGAATCTTATTATCATTATTATTGTAATTATTAGCATCCTGAAAAATAAGTATATATATGTATGAGATTGTACAGCTTTGAAAATGAATTCGCGGAAAAGAGATCCCTTCGCTGAATCAATTTTTCTTATTTTATGTCTCAGTGGGTATATTCCGTTTACTTTTTACTGGCCATCAAACTTTAAATTTATTTAAACATTACAAAATCATTATCTGTCTCAACATGTTTCTAAGTGTAAACATTTTGGAACAATCCAAGACAGTAAAAATGATGAGGAGTACACAAATTTATTTATTTCTAATTACAGGGAAAAACAGCTAGTTTTAACTAAGAAAAAAGCTAGTTGGAAAATATAATAAACCAGAGCAAACAACCAAGAACGAAGAGGGCAAACCAATCACTGAAAGTTGGCAATAGTGGAACAGAGGGGTACAGCACCTATAAATATCTGCATTAATGCTCCCCGTTCTCTAAAGAAAGATTCAGGAGGAAGGACAAGTACCGAGAAATTGGAAAGAAGGACACTTCATCAAGTTACAAAAGTAAAGAGATCTCAGCAAGTAATAAATCTACAGATGCATCAGACTGCTGTCAATATAATAAAAAGTTTTCAACGGTATTGTTGGATTGAAATAAAAGTTCAGTATACTCTCAACTTCGACATCAACAAACCAGCTTTAGTAATGATAGATTATGTACCAAAAAAATGCCACACTACAGATCCTTGTTGAATAGTCAATCAAAGAGAACTCATCACCATATATCAGGTACGTTGAATATAAGAAAGCATTTGAAAGAGCGTTTAGGATATGGTGACCTTATGGTTCATTCCTTGACAATATACAGTACTTGGAAAGATAGCCACCAACATACGAAACTCCTACGACGGACTGAATTAAAAAGTCGCTAATAGAGGACAGCTAACATACCCATTTTAAGTAAAGATCGATGTCAGACAAAGCTGACTACTTGCACTCTTTCTATTCCTTCTGGTCGTTGACTGGATCATGAAGACCTCCACATCTGAGCGGAAACACGGAATACAATGAACAGTCTAAATGCAGCTAAATGATTTGAACTTTGCAGATGATCTGACTCTTCTATCTCTCTCTCACACTCTCTCTCTCACACACACACCAACAAATGCAGGTCAAGACAAACAGTGTAACAGCAAACTTTGAATTGGTGGGTCTCAAATACAACACAGAGAACACCAACCAGACAAATCACAGTTGATGGAGAAACTCTGGAAGATGTGGAAACGTTTGCGTACCTGGTCAGCATCATTGATGAACAAGGAGAATATAGTGCAGATGTGGAGGCAAGTATTGGCAAAGCAAGGACAGCATTACTACAGTTGATGAACATATGGAACTGGAAACAACTGCCAACCCACATCAAAGTCAGAATCTTCATTACGAACGTCAAGACAGTTCTACAGCATGGGGTTGAAACTTGGAGAACTACCACAACCACCATTATGAAGGTAGGAGTATTTATAAACAATTGTGTACACAAGGTGCTGAATGTCGGTTGTCTGGATACGATCAGCAAGAACCTACTGTGGGAGAGAACAAACCAGCTTCGTCCGTAAAGCAAATCAGGAAAAATACACTGGAGGTCAATGGTACAGACATCGTGAAAATCATCGAACTTCATCACTAATCCAGCCCCGATTCGGAATTATGAAAGGAAAAGTAAAAGAGGAACACGCAACAACACGTTGCACCAGGAACTGGAAACAGATAGGTGAAGAATTATTAGAAACTGGCAACAACTGGATAGAAGTGACTAGGACAGAGTAGGTTGAATAATCCTGGTCGGCAGCCTGTGCTCCACGAGGAGTAATAACCCTAGGTATGTGAAGAAATTCTTAAAATAGTCTTTGTCATAATGGAAAGAAATTAGAATCAACATCATTTTAAATTCCATGGTTTTACTTTTGATTCCCCATCATTGCATTTATTATTAAATATAGTATTAAATGGATCGATTAGCACGGAATAACATTAGGTACATTTGTTAAAAATTTTTCATCTTTCCAGATATTCTGGTCATTTGAATTTTTCAACTAAATACTGAGATGAACTGGTAAGCTAATCATATCACAAATTTAATTTGAAATGAATTGGACTATCCAACTGTTATTTTTGACTGGAATTTAATCAATCTTGGTTGGCATTTGCGCAATCTGTGATGATTGCCTCAATATAGCCATTATGACACAAGTTGTTATGAAATAGAAGAAATGTGGTTAGCAGTGGATTCCAGGACGCCCGTCTTATCTCGCTTGGGACTTATCAGCTGGATGTCCCTACATCTCAGATAAAATGAAAATAGGACGAAACACATATCCTCGATTCTACTGTTAGTTACATCCTATCTATTCTAAAAATATTACAAACTGCTTTGTGAAATATATGCATCGTCGCAACTAGTAATAGTAGGAAAAAAGAGAATTGAATTGTGTACTAAACATAATATTATTTTGCGTATAACAGTGTGCCCTTTCATGTTTATGGGGATGCAAAAGATAATTAGGTGGTGTTCACTTTCACTAGATTTTGGTACATTGCATTTCATGAATTTCCTTTATTTTTAAAAAATACAGTGGACCACACAAAAAAGAACTCAGTCCATACAATATATTAGTGAAACACAATAGTTTTAGTAATGAATAGAAATCATCGACAGAAAAAATGTAAAACAGGTTAATTTCACTATTTTCTTGAGATTGCTAACAAATAAATATTTCAACAGTTGAAATTATGAGTCAATTGAAGCTAGACAATCTTGAAAAACCTGAAAGCACTGGACGGCCGTTTCGTCCTAGTATGGGGTTCCTCAGCAGTGGAGTTCAACCAGGTCTGTTGTGAGATATCAACTCACTGAAGAAAATGGTGTACGGTGGCGCAACTTCGTGGACTAGTTGAAGTTAGACATTAACACCGTTGGATGCCGGCCGGCTCAGTGGTCTAATGGTTAAGCGCTCGGTCGCGAGACTGATAAGCCCTGGGTTCGAATCTCGCAGTGAGCGGGATCGTGGATGCGCACTGCTGAGGAGTCCCATACTAGGACAAAACGGCCGTCCAGTGCTTCCAGGTTTTCCATGGCGGTCTGGCTTCCATTGACTCATGATTCCAACTATCGAAATTTCTAAAGAAAATTTGCACAAAACCTTTTCTAAAAATAAATATTTTCTTATTTCTATAGTAATAGAAATACTTCATAATTGAATCATAAAAGAAGAAACAAACAATAATAATAAAGAATTTTGGTATAGGTCTACGAGAAAAGGTCAAATGAATAGATGAAGGTTAATGTTATGCTGTTGTATTATGATAAAACTCAATATATTATATTTATATTATAAAAAAATAAAGCATTAAAAAGAGGAAACAATAGTATTTCCTTTGCATTGATTTTAGCATAAATTAAATGAAGAGAAATAAACGGACGTATATAAATGCCTTTAATAAAAAAGTAACACTGCAAGCATCTTATTTATTATAGAAATATAAGAAAACTCAATAAAGTTACTAATTCACTGTTGAATGAGACCAAATAGATTAATTTGAATAGAATCTTTTTAAATACACGAAACAAAATTTTAATTAAGTTTAAGTGAAGATAGTTTAGAAGTCTTCAATATTTTTAGGAATTAGTTCAGAATAAAGATAAAGTTTGAATTTATTATTTACAAAGTAAGTTGATCTAAAGATAAAATTTTAAGAAAAACTAACAAATTAGTGTAATAGTTGATAGCTGTTGGTTTCAATATAGAACTATTTAGTTGTTTTTACCTAATAAGATATAGTTGGTAATCTTCAGGTGTCATGATTAGTATGATAATATGTAACCACCCAAATGGTATCGAATTGTAACAGTTTCGATAGATGCAGATTACAAAATTAACATCAAAGTTCTTTTTCAGTGAAGTCAGACTCAGTTGGGAAAAAAACGACATGAATGTGATAGATCATCTTCGTTGGTATATTGGAGCACTATCTTTTAATAAAACTTCATAAAACAAATGCATTTTAAGCTTTTCCTCTCTACAATAGTCGAAAGATAATTAATTTTTGTCCTAACGTTATTACTTATTATTTGTCACAACAGTTATTTGTATATCAACAGTTTTCTGATTTAAAACTACATAACTACAGGTTGTCTTATATTTATAGACTGTGAAGTGAGTATATTAACTATGCTTAAAAACAATAAAGTATATCACCAAGAATATTGTTAAAATCTGAAAGAATCGCATATTTCTGTTATAATAAAAACATCATCATATCACCAAATTTGTTTTTCCAAGCAATCTCATCTTACTCTTCAGAAAATCATTTGTTTAGATTTACTTAAAAATGGTCATTATGATACATAATTTATTGAAATTTCAAAAATATCTCTTTGTTAACTTTCTAGGTAAAAATAAGAAAATTACAGAGAAATGAACGTATTTTTCAAAAACTGTTACTTTAAAAAAGTCGTATAGACTATTAATATCAAACTAGTAAGTGAAGTAAAACAAATAATAATTAAATCTCTGTTAGTTTTCTTATTTTCTATTTCTCTTTATGGTTATGTTTAAGTGTTTTGTTTCTCTCATTTTCATCATTTTACTTTCATTACTATAAGTTATGTTCTTTAAACGGTTGTTCATTTACAACAGTATGCTCAGAATAAATCCTACTTATTATACACATTTGTTAATGGTTTTAACTTATTATGTTCTACTTTTTTTATTTAAATTTTATTGATTTTACACTTGTGAAAATGTTTCTCCTTTAATTACTCTTCATAATCCGCATGATTTTATTTATAGTTTCTTATATTAATCCCTCTAATGCCTTTGATTATTGTCACAAGAAAAATATTTTGCCTTACTCTCTTCACCCTGTTTTTTTGTTATTTGTACACATTATATAACAGTTACATGACCTTTCATTATTATTTATATTATATAACCTACTATGGAAATCTTTACACTGCATCGTCATATGTAATCATTTGTCCATATTTCTTTATTGAATTCATCTTTAAAATGATATATATTCGGCTGTACAGCTTGATCATGAATTAGTTGGAAAAAGATCGCTTCTCTGAATTTCGGTTTTTAATATTTAAAAGAAGAATTATAGATCGATAGGTTATTTTATAATAAGATTTTCGTATATTGTTCAATTGTCATTTTAAGTATTTAACAGATAATTTCATTGTTATAACTTGTGACCTTGTGATCCTATTATTATATAACGTGATGATACAGCCAATTAGAGAACAGTGATTATCGACCGGACCAATAACGTATAAAACCCGTACGAGCAGTCTAGAGTCTTTATTGGTCCTGCTTCCTGCCTAGCGCTGCCTGTTAAGTCCAGAACACCAATCTCAGCCTCTGCGATATGAATAATTTATTTCAAACATACTGAGTATATTTACATACCAAACATACCACATCACTCAATAAAGTAGAAAATAACATTTTTACAAGATCTAGCCAAAGGTGGCTGTGAATGTGGGAGACTGTAATTAATAGACTGAGCGTAACTCAAGAACGGTAAATCGTATAATAATAGTCTATGGTCCAAAATAAAGCTTTTAATAAGAGGAACATGAATATGCATAGTTTGGTTACATAACGATTATATAATAAAAATATATGTATCGTATCGGTCCAGAAATAGTTCTCAAGAGTTACTATTCATAATTCTCGTCGGATATAACATTCATACAACCTTGTTTCAGTGATTAGAATTCAACTATTACATTTGTCATCTAAGGTATTAGTAGGATTCACTTTAAGTGAAACTGTGGCTCATCTCGAATTCTTACGTATATCTTAATAATGAATGCTCGTAAATATGAAATCAAGATCTGGGAATTTGTATGATGACTACTAAGAAGCACTTTACATGAATCTAATTATATTCCCATCTTGTTTTTACTTAATAACCAAACTATATCCTTAAAGTTAGATTATCGTTAAAGATGTTTGTTTTTGTTAAATATAATTACCTATTTGTTTTAAGGACACTCAAAGAAGGGTAAATGTTGAAATTTCATTCCACTTTTTTAAAACTACATTAAAGTATTCTCATTATCAAAAACATTTACTTACCCGTCCACGGTAAGTATACTGACCAACTGTTCAAAGGACGTCTCGGTTGAACTGAAAAATAAACAAATAAATTCTATTATAAATAGAATTTTAAAAAATTGAAATTAATTTGCGCAAATATTAAACATACGGAACAATTTAGGCAACATGATCAGTTACTTCTATTAACACGTTCCAATAGGTATTAGAATGCGATAGTAATAAGGTAAAGTGATATTTTTGGTTTGTTTAATTTTATGAACCATGATTTATTCAAAGTTTTGATACTAGGATATTTTCAAAGTTTTGAATAAAGTGAAAAGAACATGATTTGAACAATCACATGATTCATTATATTTTGAGGCTTCACACTAACCCCAAACGGTCTAAAGTTATGAATAGTTATACTGTTATGTATAAATTTTAAAGTACCCTATCAATGTAGATAAGCTTGAAATAATTTCACAGCTTGTTATAAGTACAAAAAGGCTTGGTTTAGTAATAAGAGTATCTCAAATTATGGTCGATTGATGTTTTTTCATATATCAATTTATAATCTTTGCACTAAAACATTTGAATGGTTATGTATTAGAGTACAGAAACATGTGATTGACAGTCAAGAGGATTTATGCAAAATTTCATGTAGGTTTGATGATAGATTTTCACAATGGGATATGATGAAAAACTTTGTCGGTACTAAAGTTAATAGTTATTATAACAAAAAGTACTATTTATTTTATGTTAAGAAGTTTATCTGCTACATTTCATAACTTAGATGTCAAAAACTGTTCTAAGATTATCGTTTAGATTATTTAGAATAGATGAATTATGGCTAGCAACAGTATTCAGGATCCGCGTTTCCTTCAATTTGGTGCATGTCAGTTGAATTTTTACATGTTTTTCAGTGTCGATGTTCATCCTGGTATTTGATTGGATTATTTTGATGCTTGGACAGGGGATATCATGAGTGGTTGGTTTTTAGTATTTATTTAAAGTATACAGGTTATAATGAATGCAGTAGGTAAACTTCAATTTCCCAAAGGATCCTACTAAAAGAATTATCCCTCAAAGTTAATACTTCATGGGGAGTTAAAATTATTTAATTATGTATCATTCTAAAAATATTATCTTACCTACTCCTGAGTCACTTTTATTGCATATCAAATAATTTATAGCATGTTAAAGGTCACACAGTCAAACGCATTCTTCTACAGTTTAACACTTGGTCAAAAATAAAACATGAATGGTTACCTGGACTCTATTTCAAAATACATGTGGATAATTATAATCACGCACTACAAATGTTTTTTACTAAGTTATTAAAATTAAAAACAAATCCACTTTAAATCTATATAGAAATTATATATTTATAATTTATATACAAGTAAACCTTGAACATTGTATAAAAAAAAGAAAAACCTCTGGGATTTATTTCTCTATAATAACAACTGCTATCTGCTTGTTTATACAAATTTTTAAGTTGTATAGCATATTATTCACTTTTTATTTTTTATTATCATATCTTAATGAATTAGTAGTCTTTGTAATCTTTAGTTACATACTTGATTTATTTTTACATCGAATGTTTAAAATTTCAGTGTTTTTGTATGATTGTCTATAGCCTTTTTATCTCAGTGTTTACACTATATTCTGAATTGCATTCCATTTATAGAGACAACTCATTATTATTTCGTTGTTAATTTTCTTTACATTTTCATTTGTGCTTAAATAATCGTTCGTTGCGTAGTAATTAGTAAACTATTTAATCGCTATACTCATTATTATGATTAAAAGATAAAGTCAAACAATAACCATTATTACGAGTAGTTTCTTTATTGAATAGCCTTTCGTTACAAATGTATGCTAATATTTCCAGTATATTTCTGACAAAAATAATGTTGTATTGAGATTGGCTTAAACCTTATCATTTTTTAGAATCAATCTTTAACAGAAATTATGAAATTGGCTGTTTCAGTCAGAATACAGAATCCTTTCACATGCTGACCGATATATATATATATATATATATAACTGCGCACGTTTATTGTTAAAAAAAACATTTTATTTGTTTTCCATGATAAATATGACGCGTCACACTTCTTTACCAATCATTCCATATACAATTTGAATTTAGGAACCCTATATAACTATTAAAGACGTGATTCGCATTCATTAGTACTTGAGATTTTTATGAAGATAGAATGACTGACATGAGACGCGATTTCAGTAAGCATAAACATTAGCAAGTACCATGTACACCGAATCACAATAAATTTAATAGGAATTAGATAACAGTTCCTTAAAGAAAGGAAATTACAACATCCATGCACGCTATATTAATTGAGGTTTCATAATAAACAGATTTACAATAATATGTATTAAAATGACTGTTTAAACTGGTTTACGTATTGTCTAATATATTTGACTAAATTAAAACTTAGAAAACATTTATTTGGCGGTAAAAACCTAATTGTTTCTAATTTCAATAATCGTTCAATAGAAACAGTAATACTGAATAAAGCCATTAATACTAATAATAAAATAATAATAAAAATAATTGTTCTCCAGTTTACACTAATATACTAATACAAAAAAGGAATTTTCGTAAATTACAGAGACAAGAACGTACCATATGTATAATTACGAACAGGTGGACAACCAATTTCATCAGTTCCCCCATCAAAGCAATCATCTGCTTGATCACAGCGCATTTGACCGTAAACACAAACAGCAGTTTGATTTCCACACCAAAATCCAGAGCCTACTTCACATCGACGCATTTCTAAGAATATAATATTACGGAAGCGGGAAGTTAATTGTTCGGAAAAAAACAAAACAAAGAATTTATTTTAATTACATCACTTCTTTCTTGCACATGTGTGCGCAACGCTAATTAACTAGGTTCAAAAAATCAAAACTAATTTTTGAACAACATGGAAGGAAGGATATGATTCTTTTCAGTTTTCTCCCGTAATTATCAAAAGCTTATTATTTAAGTCAGTTAGTAGTTAACTATAATAAACGATGGTCAGTTAATTTAGAATTGAAATTGTATCCTTGCAGAAACGAAGGACATTTTTCACGTTTTCTATGCATTTAGAAAATTAGAAGTCTGTCAGTTGGCAATTAAAACCACAAGGGATTTGAATAAGATGTGAAAATAAAACTTGATATGTGCATCATGAGTCATATCAGTACGCTCTAATAGTGTATTATGAGTACAGGAAGGCAAAAGCCAAAGAAATTTGGTTTGCTGTGCTCGGGAGAAAGCCTGCCTTCATAAGAATTAGCTTCAAGGGTGATGAAGTACCTGGAAAAATGAAATTCAGATGAGAAGCCATAATAAAAAGAACTTATCCAGCTACCTAGTTGATCCCCTGCATCAAATGAATTGCTCATTAAGACAGTCAGGTGCGGACAAACTTTCACCTTATGTTACCTCCAACCGTGTCTACCATTTACTTGTACGTGCCAAAGCACGTACATCGGAAAAAGAGAAAGAAGGGTTGGTGTCCGAGTCAACGAGCACATTCCATAATAGCTTAGACTGAGAAGATAATATGTCTTCAGCAGTGCGATCACTCGCCATCTGCTTGATGGTCATGGTGTTGATGTTCCAAAGTAGTTGAAGACAATTAATAGACAATGAACATCGAATTTACTACAGTTTACCGAAGCGATTATCATCAAAAGACTTAAATCAAATTAATATATCCAGAAAGATACAGTTATCAACATTGTCATGCCGTAGTGAACTCATTTACAAATGTTTGTTACGCAATTCCTCTTTTCATGACATTAATGATTAATTCTCGCTCTTTATCTGGTTTGTACTTTGTTTTGTTTTGAGAGTTACATTAATAAATTATTTCTGAATAATTGTGTTTCCATGTTCTTTGTTGTTTATTCTATAATACTTCTTATCGTTCTTTCGCACTTGTTGCTCTTTTCATTAGACTTCATTGATGAGAATACTATCGATGTTATGATATAATGTATACTGACTTTTAAAGATTAATACTATTACGTTTAGGTTGTAAGCAGATGATTGGAAACCGCGAAATACAGTGAATTCATGTTATTCTGCTACATTAACTATTTGTCCTTTAATCAAATTGATAAATGGAAAAAATCGTATGAAACTTTTAAATTACGATTAATGCTCAAACAACAGCAAACAGTTTTCATCTTCATCCCAAACTACAAATCATCATTACCACAATATTAGTACATATCATCTCATGACATAAAACGTTATGAAATATCAATTGTTGCTACTTAAAAAAGCACTTTCCAAAGCGTTAAATATAGCAGTACGTATACTGAACAAGTGTAGAAAAGAAAAGCATGTTTTAAAAAAACACTTCATAAGATTCAAACAATGCAGCTAAATTTGGGCCAAGATTTAGTGTTCACTAATTCTTATTTAACTTGATAGTAATTAATGCAGTCCTGTAATCAGTTAAATATATTTATGAAGTGCAACTTATATGAGTAATATTTTTTTCAGAATTTAAATGTAGTTGTCATGACTTTACGCAGCTGCAAATAGTAGGAAAGATACTGCGGATTCATGTTTCATGCTTGTTGGCACTCATCATCAAGACACCTAGAATCTTGAGGGAACCGATGCTCCTTGCGGGATTTGAACCTAAATCACACAGATTCACAGTTCGAGACGTTACCAATGAACGATTCGGACTGCAAATGGTCTCCTTTAGGACTAATGTATTAAGAGTGATATATCACTGTATAGTGTCGATTCTCTCAAGGTTGCATGTACGCCGTTCTGATGAGTTTTAATTAGCAGGAAACATAGGGCTAAGTTTTCCTGTCAACTACTTCACATCACCAGGTATCAAAACATAATGCGCGCGACGCCAATCTTACTCACTTGAATTTGACTAGTACCAAGAACTAAACAAACATAACATTGGTTACTACTCAGTTAATAATTAATGTATATAGTCGACATGTATAAGTGGAACCCTCAGTAATTTGCAACGAAATCAGAAAATTAGAGAAGACAATAAGAAGCTTGCTTCTTTGTCTATTTTTGGAAAATCCTGAGATCTGACTACGATAGTGGACAAATAAAAACGAGGATTTTGTAATACATTTGTTTCGAAATCAGCAAGTCAATTCATTTCATAAATTTTTCTTTTCTCCTACGTTTATACAGAGAACTTTGAAGAAGGCTTGATTCGGAAGTTTATATGTTTAGAACGTTAAATGTCTAAGGCATTCATGTATTCATAAGTAATATGATTGTAGTTCTTCAAAAGTGTAAGTTGACAGGGCCACTAAATAATCATTTCAAAAATATGCTTCGTACAAGAATGATTTTGATGCTTTGGAATTTTTCACATCAATTAACAGACAGTTGAGAAAAGCAAAAACTTTCTGTCCAGTATACAAACCTTAAATTTCAAAGTATCAATAACAATCTATTTTTTCATAAATACTAATCCCGAATCATTAGAAATTTAGATATTTTACTATTTCACAAAATTTATTTTGCTGATAAGTTTAGCTTCCTTCCGCCATCATTTAAAAATTACCACACTTATTCAATCTAGCTAATTTGATAAATACTGTTATATTTCTTCAGAAGCATCAGAAGGGTACTGGATGTATGAGTTCAGTTATTTTACAACGAAGCCACAAAAGAACACTTAGCTTCAACAGTTGTTTCTTGCAAGTAAATGTTCCTTGACACCACGTTCTATAAAAATACCAAGTTAACGTGTTAGGGTAGCAATATAAATAAGAAGGCAAAGACTTGAAGCTTTCTACTGTGAAATAATATAATTAAATTAAAGTACTGCGCCTAACAAAAACCGCCAAAGTATACAGTTTTTTATTCTATGATTTCAATCTTTAATTACATTATGAAACATTTTCGATTTGTGCTTCTGAATCAATTCGTTATTATTAAGACCGGTTCGGAATTATATTCAAGTAAATGGAAATGTATAATGACACTACAAAAACATTCTCATCAAGATAATCATCAGACAGTTCTGACCTTGGTCTCGCGCTTTTTTACAACGGTCATATTATTGACAGTTTAGATAGACTGAAATAAGTTTCATAAACATCTATACCACCACCTCTTGTCTATCTACCAGTGGGTTTTTACATGAATGACATCGTTATCACAAAAATTCAAGAAAAGAAGTCAGGAGTAAAGGTAATAACCACCATTAGAATTCCCATACAGATTAGATTTATTACTTACTATCAGTAAGACTGAAAGTTCCTTCGAATCGCATATATGCTGACATTTGAACATCTAGTTTAGATTTTACATCCTCAATTGAACCGGACTCTGTATGCCAAACCAATGACACGATACGATGCTTTGAATCGATGATTTGCGGAAATGTAAATGTACAGGTTAAATTTAACTCCTTTAATAAAGCAATGGTTGAAAAGAAAGAATGTGTCCAGTTCATCAAGTCATTTGAAACTAAAGGTTTAATTTATGTAAGTGAATAAGTGCATAAAACAGTCCGTAAAACTAGTTAAAAAGAAAGAAAAGAACCACTTTAAATCTACTGATAATTAGTCAGTGTTTTATACTTTTGGGACGTTCGCGCATACCAAATTAAAATTGATCACTTTAACAAATTCGGTTATCTTGGAAAGATTATAAAGAACCTGCTACTTACTTTGTCCAACCTCAATCAAGCCTATCAGTTAAATGTAAAAACTTCCCTAATGACTATGATCATAATTAATGGTTTCTAGGTTTTTCGTGACTAATTTTATATTTTTATTGCCCACTGTCAATGGATTTGAATTAGAGTTGGATTGTTTTTCGCGTGATCAGAAAAAATATTAGATATCCACATTTTAGTTATAAATCCTCATTTGACCTAAATACTAAGACTATATAAATTCTATAAGTTACTTGAAACTACTTAATCCAAAATCTTAAAAGCCTTTGCGATTGAAACCATTTCAACAGCAACGATGGTGGCTGGTAGTGGAATCCAGGACGTGCATTTCGTTCTATTTGGGACTCGTCAGCTGGGCGTACCTGTGTCCCAGGGTTACTTTTCACTCCAGGGCTTGAACTCAGTATTATCCTCTTTAAAGGCTATCGCGTTATCCACTTAGCTACTGAATCCAGACGGCTAATAGCTTTTGGCCTATTGCACACATGGTTTCCACTGCTAGCCACCATCATTGCTGCTTATAATGCTAGACTTGTGACTATAACGAAGCAATTGGTACAGGATGCACACATGCCAATAAGAGACTGATCAATGGAAGGATTCAAACAACACTATGATTAAAATGTTAACCATTAAAACAAACATCTGCCTGAATTACAAATCTTTTCCGTCAATTTGTTAGTCACAATATCTTTCGATTTCACTACAAACAGGTTTGTGGAATTATTTTATTATCCTTGTTGATTACTTCTGTTCAAAAGGTCAGTAAATTACAGTTTTATATTTTTGTGAGTACAAAATAAAAAACTAGTAATCCAGTGTGTTAAAAATACTATAAAAAGGCACATTTTTAATAGTTCACTGAATATTATATACTTATTTCCGTTTAGTCACTCATTATACTTTGATACAGCAAAATGGAAAATCCAAAACGTAAATGTCAGGAAGTAATGAAATTGGAACAAATATTTCAACAGACATACGGTATTTATAGTATGGACAAAAATCATTTTCTTCTTAAGAATTGAAATGTTGAACGTCATTGAATCACTAATTCGTTTGAAAAATGATGAAAACCTTACAAAATGCTAAGATTTATAGAAATTAATTTGTGAGAAAAGTGTAAATTTCTTTAAAATTTACTGTATTTCGTCTAGTAACAATCATAAAAATGAATAATCCTAGAACTCATTACTTTTCACCGTTTATTTACTAAGTATAGATATTCATATATTCCGGAGATTTGTTTCTAATGACCATATCATTGATAATAAGTCCATGATATATAGCACTCGATAAGTTGTACACGGTTAGTTGACTGTAGTCAAAGAAAAAACATGATACCTCGTAAAATGAAGTACAATGTTTTTACGAAGATGAAAGTGGATAGGGATGAAATACTTTGGTTGGGTAGATGGAAACCTTGTATCAACAGTAGAATCCAAACTTTAGTACAAGAAAAGTAAGCCAATGATTTAACATTTACTTTCAGTTAGTTTGGATTATCAGAAATACTGAAGTTTAAACCAGGCACTGGATATCTACTGAAACAGTAATTTTGCATAACTCTTTATAGCTAAATATAAATACTTATCCCTGTTAGTCAGTTATCCATTTAAAACAATCTAAAACATGAAACTGTACTAGGCCATCGAATCACATTTTTGCAGCAAGATAAACTTAAAAAGATCGACATTAAACCGCTTCAGAAATTTTGTCGACTACTCAGTGAAAATAAAGTAAAACTTAAAAATAATACATAAGCATTTTATAAAACGATCACCAAACAAAACATCCACTGAACAAATGTAAGTGGAAGTTCTTAATAGAAATAGGATCAAAGGCGTTCGTTGCTTGAAGCAAAATAAAACCAGTATTAAATAATTATTTTCATAAGTCTAAATAATTCATAAAAAGAATGCTTCGAAAATTGTCATTTGAATGAATATTTAGTTAATTACACCCGAATAAAAGCGTCCATAGCAAACGACCAAGGAGTATATTTTAGAAATTACTGTTACTAAATATCACTAGTAATTTATATTATAGTTATTTTTCTGTACATTTCAGGGTACACTGCAGTAAATTATAAAGAAATTTACCCACAATAATGATTGTATGGAGATTTAAAAATGTACCGAGCATTTCCACTTAACATTGTTTTGTTTAGTTCGACAAAACTCTCTATAAATTGAATGTTTTTCGTTAAGTCTAAAACAATTTTCCCGTCTGTTTGCTGAATACAATCTACAAATTAGGCTCCATTTTTGTTAATACGACTTGAATTGCTTTTTAATCGATTTGTCTCCATTGGGCAGCATTGCCGGATTTCATCAAGTTATCAATGGACATTGCATAAATGAAGATTTATAAATTTTAGTGTCGAATGTCTCTTCAGCGTTTTATTCTTTATGGTAAATAAAAAATGATACTAGGTTAAAAATATCCGGTTGTATACATTATACCCGCATTCAACCAGTCATACCTTTTAAAGGTTGTTCATATACTGATCGATTAAAGCTTATCCATTATTATCAGCTTCACTCTCACCTGTTATTTCATGTTTAAGCCTAGATATATAAAACGATTCATTATATGTCGTTGGAAGTTTCCTAATTGATGGTTAAAATAACAAACTCACTGTGGTCTATTATAAAACATTTCTTACTGTTATCAAGCCATGTCACACTCACCCTTGTATTTATTATCAAAGTGCAAACTATTGGACGTTTTATTCTCCGGTTATAGTTCATTATAACACAGAACTGGCCTAAGACATCAGCAGTAAAACTTTATTCTGAGTAAAAAGCAAATTAGTATAGAGTTTTGTAGTTATAACTAACTCGTATTTCATTTTGATACACAAACACCTAGGATGGTTGTATTATATAGATGACGGTTTGCTCAATACTCTACACTACTTTCTTTAAACGTTTATTTGAAATTAAAATTGTTGAAATATAATTCCACCATTGACTTAATGTTTGTCGTTTCAGACAGTATTAAGATCACGGCGGCCGTAAAGTGAATTTTGTATGTATACCTAGTGAAGACAAAACTATTTCATTTAGATGAAATACTTTTAAGTTTTAAATTTTAGGTGCAGTAATAGAATTTGAGTAGTATTCAGCAAGTCGGTAGACAAGTGTTTTATCTCTGTAGATTTCCGTTTGGCTAACTTTAAAATATGGTTTAAAAATGTTTTGTAAACTCAATTCCTGGCATTTACATACATTTGCATCTTAAGGTTCGATGTTAAATTTGATTAATGAGATCCAGAAAAGTGTAATTTTTAATCTTCCATTATTTATTTCATCCAACGACGGAAGAAATCAGGATGGCCATCAGACAAATCAAGAGCGGGAAAGCAGCAGGACCCGACAATGTGCCAGCTGAAGTACTGAAGCTAGACATCGAAGTAACTACAAAAATGCTTCACCTTCTATTCAAAAAGATTTGGGAGGAGGAACAAGTGCCGATGGACTGGAAAGAATGACATTTCATCAAGATTCTAAAGAAAGGAGACCTAAGCAAATGTGAAAACTACAGAGTAATCACACTACTGTCAATACCAGGGAAAGTCTTTAACAGAGTGTTGCTGAACCGGATGAAAAACGCAGTAGACGCCCAACTTCGAGATCAACAAGCTGGATTCCGTAAGTATCGGTCGTGCACAGACCAAATTGCGACACTACGGATCATCGTCGAACAATCAGTTGAGTAGATCTCGTCACTGTACATCAACTTCATCGATTATGAAAAGGCATTTGACAGTGTAGACAGGAGGATGTTATGGAAACTTCTTCGACACTATGGAGTTCCTGAGAAGATTGTCAATATTATCCGGAACTCATATGATGGACCACAGTGCAAAGTCGTGCATGGAGGACAGCTGACAGATGCATTCCAAGTAAGGACCGGAGTCAGACAAGGCTGTTTACTCTCTCCCTTCCTTTTTCTCCTGGTGGTCGACTGGATTATGAAGACCGCGACATCTGACGGAAAACACGGAATACAATGGACAGCTCAGAATCAATTAGACGATTTGGACTTCACAGGTGACCTAGCCCTCCTATTGCATACACACGAACAAATGCAGATAAAGACAGCCAGTGTAGCAGCAGTCTCTGCATCAGTAGGCCTCAACATCCACAAGGGGAAAACCGAGGTCCTCAAATTCGAAACGGAGAACAGCAATCCAATCACTCTTGATGGCGAAACTCTGGAAGATGTAGAATCCTTCACATACCTGGGAAGCATCATCGATGAACAAGGAGGCTCAGATGCAGACGTAAAGGCGAGGATTGGCAAAGTAAGGGCCGCATTCCTACAATTGAAGAACATATGGAACTCAAAACAACTATGAACCAATATCAAAGTGAGGATCTTCAATACCAACGTCAAAGCAGTTCTACTGTACGGAGCTGAAACTTGGAGAACTACAACAACCACGATCAAAAAAGTACAAGTATTTACAAATGGTTGTCCACGCAAGATACTCAACATCCATTGGGCAGATACCATCAGCAACAACCTTTTGTGGGAGAGAACAAACTAGCTTCCAGCTGAAGAAGAAATTAGGAAAAGACGATGGAAATGGATAGGACATACATTACGCAAATCATCAAACTGCATCACGAGGCAAGCCCTGGCTTGGAATCCTGAAGGGAAGCGGAAAAGAGGAAGTCCAAAGAACACATTGCGTCGGGAAATAAAAGCAGATCTGGAAAGGATGAATAACAACTGGAAGGAGCTGGAAAGGATTGCCCAGGACAGGGTTGGATGGCAAATGCTGGTGGATGGCCTATGCTCCTTCACGAGGAGTAACAGGCGTAAGTAAGTAAGTAATTAAGTTAATTTTTTCATACCTGTCGGTTTGTGATAATTCGAATTTTTAAATCAGATAGGAACGATATTTATGGCTGAATAATATGGGTTCATTTATTTTGAGGACTATCTTTAACTCCTTACGACTTATTGACAATATTATTAATTCATTGATAATGGTTTATATACTTTCTATTGTATCAATAAAGATTACTGAAAGCCTAAGGAATATTGACAAGCTCTTGAAAATTTTCTAACGATCGGATGTTTATATGTTGAGTAATGTAAAGAATCTGGAGAAAAAAAGGTTTAAAACACGCAAAGACAAGTTTCTAAAAAATGAGATAGACTGTAATCATGCTATATTAACATTCTGAAAATTAAATTATACAAAAGACTTAGAAATTATAAATATTATTGACAAAGCAAAAGTACTTATGAGCTAATATAAGTTATGTGTATACATTATTCACCAAAGACATAGGAATAAAAGTCGAATATATGTTGAACATATAATATACCAGGTGAATTCCATACAATTTTCCACAACCAGCAGACAACCAAAAGCACAAATAAAGCTTGGTCTGTGATCAATGTTAACGGAAGGTTTTTTATCACATACGACCCAAGTCTGTGGACAAAAGTACTTTTCACAATTCACAACTTTTAATAAGTTAATAAAAGTTGATCGATAACGTCTAGAAGTTATAACTACACCCTAAATTCTGACATTTCGTCTAAATCTTTTTCAAATATACGGATGTTTAGTTCTGAGTAAACCTGGATAGTCATAAAACTAGAATGAAAGGTTAAAAAACGTGAATTAGTTCCTCAAGAAAAACCCATTACCCTAAAGATGGAAATCCTTTCTTAAAACAGTATATTATTCATTTTATTTGATCAATACCACATGTCGCTATTAGATAAATTTGAAGCGAACTCAGTCAATTGCATTCAGACCCAAAAACATGCTACAAGAAGAAATATAGTGGAAAATTCCATTCAAATACTTACATATGGAAGTAAAGTAGGTTGAGTGATTTCTTCGGGTATAAACCCAATAGTCAAAAAATCATTGCAAGAGGTAAAATTAATAGAAACCCGTAGTCTATGGAACCAGTATGATGTATGTCCTTCAGGATAAGAATAATGTAGAAGTCTTCCATTTGGATACACTTTTATCTAATTTTGTAAGTGAAAAATAAATTGCGAAGTAAACATAAAGGCAGCAAGCACAATCTACATTATGAACAAAATGTGGTAGATAAAACATCCACAAATAGGATCTTAATGTTGCTTGTATATGTAAGAAAAATGGTTTCTGATAAGCAATCATTACACCTTTACTACTAAATTTACAAGGGTAAAAAACGAGGTCAAACCAAAAACTCTACTAAACCAACCTCAGCAAACCTAAAAACATAGATTTTGTAGTATGGTTTAATAGGGTAAGTTGTATCCAGTGTTGAAATAACCAAAACTTAGAAGGAAAAATTCGAGGTGATCATTCGTCTTGAGAGAGCTATCAAAGTATATCTAGCAAAGTGTGACTGAGATAGTAACAGTATTAGCAGTAAACATCAAATATATGATCCAAGAATATATCTAAAGAAGATTAAAATGAGGAGAACCAAAATAGCTAACAACGTATCATCAATAACTGCAAAGAACATTAACATAAAAGACAAACTTTGAAAATAAGGAGTAAAATAGTGAGATACAAAAGACGTAATGAATTTGAGATTTAGGATTTGAAGAAAGTATAACGAATTCTACTGTTTTACTAATACTCAAATTTGGACCGTGAGATATTAGGCCTTTAAACACTAAATGCGGTCATTATGCTGATTCCAGGTACATGTTTACAATTGAGAACAGCTTTTAGGCCAACAGTTGATAACTGCAGTGGCTGATGAGATGTCCTATTTTGTCCAGCCTAGTACTTCTTACAACATGATTTCCGGTTGATCACCACTGCAAATATTGGAAGGTTGTAGCTGAAAGTATATTTTGAATAGTTAAACACATACTAGCCCTGAATTAAAATTATTTGGCCGTTTTCACTGTTATAAAAGCCCTATAAAATTTTATAAAATCCTGACTGAAATACCTTGAAGAGGGGTGCCATTCCCATTTATGCAAAGAGTATAAGAATATATTGTTAAACCTCTCCATTAATTGGCATGGATAGTGCATGTCTATTCATTTTAAAAGCAAAATTTTACTACTATCTTCATCTGCTCAACTGTTCAATCAGCTTATAAGCTGATTAATGAAAATATACTAATGGTCTCAATAGTGGGTTGATCCTGTACATATAGAGAGAATTATTGTGTGAACAAGAAGCTCCTTTGATTCCATCTGTTTAAGGTGCTTAAATTCTCTAAATTTCTTATTTAGTAATACATTAACTCAGTATATACTTAATTTAACACTAGTCCGAATGGTCCAATAATATATATAATTAAAACCGCCAGTCTGAAAAAATGAGTGTTGATATTGAGCGATTTCACATCTCACCCAATTCGTTACTGTTAGAAAGTTAATTGAAAAATATATAGTAGGGCTAAATAACAAAGTTATGCTCACCAACCTTACAAGCATATAACAGATTGTTCCATGACGAATTATATAATCCGGTAACAAAACTCATCTGCCTAGAAAGCGAAAATCTTCTAAAGCCAGAGTGACTCCGGCAGTAATCTGAATTGTCTGGCAATATTACATCTACAGTACCGTTTAAGTTAGTGAATGTACATACATTCCTCGTAGCTTCCGAATACCACAGAGTAAACCTGTAGACTTGTTAAAGCCAGTGGCAATAAACGCATGTCAGAAATCTCATGAACGCCGACGATAACATAAAATGAACCTGTGTTTTCATGAGGCTTGAAATACCGCTAAAAGTAAATGTATGAACTTTATATGTGTTTGACCCGAAAAACAAACCCCAGACTATATCATTTCTTCAGTGCGTAACATGTAATTTACATAACTTTACGTCAGAAGACTTTTATCCTTCATGTCATTCGCTATTTACGGTATCGACAGAACGTTCATTTCAAACCATAATCAGCAGTAACCAAGGAGGATGAACTGGCTCATGGTCATCTGATCACCACGATAGGATTAACCAAGTTAGGTACCAACCTCCAGTTGTGACAAGGATGTGGTCTGGGTAGATAATTCATTCCTGTCCAGTTTGGATAAATTTGACTATCCACATAATTGATTTACAAGCCTTTAATAACTTTTAGTTCTATCCATCCGACACTCTCACCGTAATTTAGGCAAGTACCAGTACCGTTTGCTCAGTCGCCTTAGGTTAGATTATAGGTGAAACAAGTTTTGTATTTAATCGACGAAGCATAATCGTATTTAACGCATTCGAAAAGATATAGGCGGAAATTACAGAAACGTGGCTCTAGATAAAATGAGGTGTTATGCATCTTTGGTTATCATGAACTGAAACTCTGGCCTGAGCCAGAATACGTGGTTACGTTATAAATTTGGAGCTGAAATGAACAGAAATGCTTTTTTCTTGAGTCCTGGAAATGTTTGATCCTATAGGCATACATCTTTCTATGTGATGACTTCAATGCTATATAATGGAAACCATTTTCCTTGCTAAACTGAGCTTCAAAGATCAGATAAATAATCTGTTGACTGCGTCCGTGGGCGAATATTTTCTGACATGTAAATGTCAAGCAAATGTAAATTTAATGATGGATTATAGTAGATCGTTTTCGAACACTGAGGAAGTTTTGTCTGAGGAATAATTGCTTATCAATATTTCTTGTGCATCTAATACACAAACCTCTGTGATATTAATTGATGAGGTTCGACTACACTACGTGATGCGACATTTCCAAAGTGAGCCAAACACATGAAGAAGGCTTCGAAAATACACGAGAGAGCTGTATGTTGTCAGAACACCAATAGATGGAGTATTTGGATGTTCAAGGCATAAACTCAACACAACGTCACTTGTTCCGATAATCCCTACCCAAACAGCGGAAAGTCTTACCGATAACATTCATGCCAAAAGCCTAATTTGCCGATCAAGTATAGTTTTCACTTTTTTTTCGCTGATGACTCAGCAATTAAAGAGGTAGTGGAACCATAGGTAGAAGTGGCTATGAACTTATTTTCTTATATTTCCAAGATAACTGATAGGACTCAATTGATTAACTGTAAAAATTCAAGATATTTTCGGTTAGCTTATTCACAGTGAAACAACGAACTTGAATTTAGTCTAATGAAACTACTTAAGGAAAGTCAAAGTTCATTCAAGTGTGTCTTCTGAGAGTCAATGATAATATTTTTGGAATTCTGTAATCCATCATCTTTCGTTAACAAAACTACATCAGTGTTTTAGATCAAGTTAATTTCATCATCTTTTGAGGTGAAATTAAAATTACCCCGCAAATATATTTTTCCCACTTAAGTCCCACAGAAGCTAACAGTTCGGCGAAATTCTTTGCACATGTTTTGAGGACCATATTTTGATTTGGTGGATATATCGGAACAGAGATTAACTTTCTTACAATATAAATATAACTTGAACGTCACTGGTTTGGTATCTCGGTCGTTAGAGCGGTCACCGAATTCATTAGGTGATTAAAACTTCAATTTATAAATGTTAGTCCTGTTCCGGCATTAGAAGTCAGTGTGTCATGAACTTAATGAGTTAACAAACCATGAATATCGAGCTGCTAAGACAGTACTTGTAGTACGTAAAGTAGTTCAATTTTAAACCTATTGTAATAATATAGAGAAAGGCTATAGGTCTTTTAGGTAGGCGGAATAACACTACATCTAAATCAGACTACTTGTTATTGTAAGCACAACTTGGACGTTGAACGGTTGATGACAAATTATCCAGGAGATTTAAATAATTTAATCTACGGAGTTTACACTTTTGTTGGTTAGTCATCTTTTTTATTTACCTCAGTAATAATAATAATAATAATAATGATAATTTATTCTCAAATAACAGTTTGTTACATGAGGCATGCCAGTTTACAGACAAGATCAAATTCCTACAAATGATACAATATCCACTGTAGTAAATTACGTAGCTGGGTTGATAATTTATAAGATATGAATGTAGATGGTTTTATTCATTACCACAGTTGGCGCGCTTCATGAAAGTTCCTTTGCGAATGTGCAACTGATGGTCAAGGTTAGGTCCATTGAAGGTGGGAGCTTCTAAAATCGCAACCTTATATCCCTTTGGAATATCTAAGGCTTTGAGGATGGTGTAGGATAAAATCACCTGTTCCATATCACAGGGGGGCTGAAAGAGGGAGCAAGTAAGAAAAAGGACGAGAGGCAGAGTAGCCAATATTCATGAAGGAATGTTTAAGGTATGATTACTCAGTCTAATTTTCTTTTATTAAAGTATTTTTAAGCGAGAGCATTTTGATAGGTTAGAGAAAGTAAGTCTAAACAAGGTGTGTGTGGACATACAACTGATAAATGGAGGAGATTCAGAAAGGAGTTGAAAGTATGAGATTATGTGTGGTCATAAAATATAGTGCTAAAAACGGTATTGTGATATACAATTGACTATATTCCTTTTTTTGTCGAAGCTTTTGGAGCCCTTTTCATCTTATTTTGTATTACTAATAATTTTTCGGTATCATAGCGTCTTGAGTAGGCTTCATATATTATCGTATTGTCTAGTTTGCTGATAATAGGATTACTGGGTAGAAAGTGAAACCAATTCAACGTTCGTAACACGACTTAATGAGATATTTTGCATGATAAATCAGCATTAATACCTTAAGTCCGTAACATCCCACTAAACCATAAGGAACCGTAATTAAATAAAATTAAACTTTCGTGCATGTAGGTAACCGTCTTGCTACTGATAGAAGAAACCAGACTAGTTGTAAATAGGTGTTTATTTAGATCTTCGCGTGGTCACGGTGGAGTGTGGGATTATCTGTTCAGACAAACAAAGCGTCGGTTCGATTAACCTACCTATCAAAAACATCTTAGTTCTGTTTCTGCAGCCCAAGGGAGAATTGTCAACTCGCTCAGTGTTTGACTTCAAATAATTAACGACTAACTCCGTCGGCAATTGGGGATAGTCCATGAATGTCTCTCCACTTACTAGTTTGACATCTTATTTTGTAGCATGTAATTTCTTCTACAAATATCGCGGATGATTTTCTACGTGCTTGCAAGAGAAGGAGTGTAGGAAAGTGAAACAAGAATATCCGAGGAAGTGCTGCGAGTGGGCCACCCAGCACCATGTTGGTGAGGTACGACTTTTCCATGCTCTGTCTGGCTATCGGGTATCTACTTGCCTTTCTCTTCAGTCGCCCTCAAGTAAAAAGTAAAAAATCTACTTCGAAGGTAATAATTAAAAACCAATCAAACCTGAAGAACTGCTCCACTGCCTGCATAAAATAATAAGGTACAAAATGGAAATACATAAATATGATTCATAATTGTTCGGCTCCACGCAAGTGGTTGGTTTTCAGAACGGATTGGTAGTCTGGGAGTAAATAGACATAGTGTAGACATCTTGTGTACGAAAAAGTATGAAAACAAAAAAATATACTCTTTTGCAATGCATATATTTATATGTGTGAATTTGCTGGAATTTGGACTCCGTACCAAACTTGATCAAATGTATGACTTTGAGTTTATATAAACCGCCTTTTATAACCAGGTGCGTAACCACAGGTGCATAAGAGTACTCCCAAAAATCGGATAAGAGTATACGGTTAAGGCGGAAAAGAAAGTTATGAATAGTACAAGGATCAAATACACTTGTGTCAGATACTCTTTGCTCGTTTGATGTACGTATGCATGATATATTGAAGCCATATTTCGTCAACTCATCTAGGTAACGAATTGGTTTGCGCCTTAGTAATTTGTAAGTCTTATTATTCAACAGTATCATGAATAGTTACTCAGTGTAAGGAAATACTGTGGCCCTACGGTTTTATGTGGTCTATTGGCTAAGCTCGCGGTCTAGCATTCAGGAGGGCGGAGGTTTGAGCGAGTATGTGGCCGGCGCTTTTGTCCACAAAACCCTCTTGCATACGATGTTCGTTGACCGTAAGTCGCTCAGATATGGCGAAAAATGACAATAAAAGGATAGATTGATATTCCTAAGTTCCATATTGGAACACTGCGGTAGCTGCCTAAATTGTAAACAGTACAAGTTCTTTGTTCATATTAATAATAATACAATAGAAATGCTACAAGTTTGGTAGATTTCCGTTTTACGTCATACTTAAGCGAACAATATATACATATATAAGTGAAGTATGGACCACTAATAATAATTGGCATAGACGTGATAGTCATACCGTAAGTTCAATGTTATGATTAATTAACAGTTCCCTTATAAGTTGCGTTTATAACTAGGTATGTAGAATCAATGTAGATAATATAGTAACCTTACATATAACGTACTGTACTATATCCTCACGGTTATTGATTCGGAAATGTCAGAAATAAAAAAAATGAATGGTGCCAATAAAACTGAGTTATACGATTACATCAAGAAGCATGCTGCAGGAAAAGTGGTTAACTTATTGTATAGTTTTTCTTAACATGAAAACCCTAATAAGTACTTGACCATGGTATGATCCAAAATGTTTTGCCCAAAACCACTTATTAATTGATCGTATCAAGCTACTAAACATATCTTCAACCAAAAACGTTCATATAGTATATATACAACCAGTCCAAGTGAAAAAAATATATTTATAAGAAGTACTACAAACGTAGTAAATTAACTCGTCGTTATTGCGAGTGTTAGTTGTGTGGGGTCATAGTATATGCTCACAGAGGATTTGTTCGATGTTTCACTCCAACCTTTTTAAATTGTCGACCATCAGTGGTAAAATCTAAGTTGTTTAATTCAACAGGCGAAGCTTGTTCACATCACTCACATTAGCTGAAGATTCTTCGTCCTCAGATGTGACTTAACCTTTTTTACGTTTTCGAATAATATCACTCAGCAATTGTTTAGGAATATTTTGTAGATTATCCAGTGTATCTGAAGAAATGAACTGATATTCACTTTTATAGACTATATTTATTCAACATGCATACTGTGAATCAATAAACGTTGTAATTTATAGATCATGCCTGTAAAAATAGTGTGTACCTGCCATTGCAGAAGTATATTATTATTATTATTATTTTACTAGTAATCTAGAGTCCTAATTTCTACTGTGTTCAGACGGATTTATAAGTTTGGGAGGTATGCTTTTATCGGCGAACATATTATCACTTTGAAAGAACTTTGATAAAGCTTACGACTAAATCAATGAGAATATCATAGCTCTTACTACTAACAAACGCAGAATACTAATGGTGAACAGAAGTGATTTTATTTCCAACCCAACATTCTGAGTGATTTTAGCACCACACCTTTTGCCATTGAAAGGGGACATGGCATCAGCCTCTGTGATGCTTCAGCTTTTTCTTCCTGTTAGCGTTGTATGAGCAACAAAGTTCATCTTGTAGGGCCGGCGAAATGTCACTAAGCCCTAGCCAAATCATCCGGCAGTCGGGTTATTGAATATCGGGCAAATAATCGATCCTCGTCAAGGTCAGGGACAACCAACGCGGATCAGTTAATGATATGCCATGGACTGGCGCATGCGGCAGTGGTCTTACTTTCGCTTGTATCTACTTTAATTAATATATTTCTGTAATAACGTTCTCCGTGTTGTACAGTCTTCAAAGCATCTATAGTACCTTGATACGTCAATAGGGTAGTCCACGTAAGGTGCCGACCACGAGGTGTGACTTCAACGTTAGCTTGTTCGTCACACCATTCCCGTCTAATTCGAGTAGGTCTCCAATCATTTTCGACATAGATCATCTACGTTGGTGATCTACAATCCACCCGCAGAGATTTCTTTCCAGAATGGGAGATAGCTATTTAAAATAGCCTTTAGTGTTTATTTTAGAACTGAACTAAAAAATATTTTGGGTCATATCGCCTTATCTTAAAAAGGATATAGTTCTCTGGGAACACATTTAGGTATGGGAAACTGGAAAGATGCATGGACTACGAATCGAATCAAATCCATAGAGTTTAGATTAGCAACATGTACAATGCAGAGAATGATAGAGATATTATCTTGATATATAATATCAATAATAGTCCTCCACACTGTAACAGATAACTAATACGTTTTAATTTCGAAGATGTAATTAGTATAGGACGCGAACTTCTTCGTGGTTAGAACCACTAACTTGTGGAGCTCCTTACTATAAAAAGCATCTTCTCGAAAGTCCTGCAAAAAACGGGTTCAACGTTGATAGTGGGGACGAATACTCTAAACGCAGTATTTTTGCTTGTGTCTAAATATCTTAAGCATACCTAACATCTATATTTCATGTTTAAGTGTCGACATTTCAGTGACCTTGTCTCCAGTTAGTGTCAAGGAAAGTGATGAAATATGGACTGGCAAATAACCTTGTGCACATTCGTCGACTTCACCACGTTAGTAAATGGCGAAATAAACTAAGCCAAATATGGCCATGCTTTGGGAATCCATGCTTACGCCTCGGTTAAAACAGACGAATAACAAGAGACGAAAATTGCCTACAAGAAAGACTGCTCGATGGAAGCGTTAATATAACCCGGCATATACAAAAAGACATGAATTCGACAAAATAGTAGGTGTAATTTGCAGACGAGAACAAATAGGAAGTGTAAGTATAGAGCTAACAAGGACATGAGTGATAGAAGTACATGTGTAGAAGATAACAATTGTTTATGTAGAGAATGGAGCTACAGGGAAGACGACGACAACGTCATAGTCAAGATCTGTTTGCATTATTCAGGTGTGTACAAAGTATAACATAAGATCACACAGAAGTTATAACAAAAGGCTAAACTAAACGTATTCCCATTATCATATCGAAGAACTAGAAGTGACCTGATTACAGTTTTTAAATTACTTAGTGGTAGACTAACACTTGGTTTGTCCTCACTCTTCTTGTCTTCCGAAACAGAGGATTTACGAGAACACTCCAAAAAGGTTCACAAACCCAGAACAAATTACATGTCAGCTGACTATCGACTTTCCCATCGAATGATCAACGAGTGGAATTTATTACCTTAACACATGGTTGAATTTCTAACTGTAGACTCTTTAAAAATAAAGTTGGATCAGCTGGAAGACCATTAATAACAGGACTAACACAAGCCATCCAGCCTCCTGTTCTTTCCATAGTGGAACTGAATAAAGCCATCGGTATACAACTAGTTGACCCAAATATCGTATGCGATATTAGGTAGAAAACTATTCGCCAACCGAAAAATGTATGGATTATGGGAAAATAATCTTACCACCCAGACTCCGATCTCAAGGAACAATTATTTCGTTATTTATGCTTTACAAAGTTCGAAGTTTGTTCAATAAACTGGTCCGCCCGTTTCAAGTTTGGCCTTGGCGCCATTTAGCCTATTGTCTCCAAATCACTCGTCATATGAAATGAGATAGAATGAGTCGTAAGAGTTAATCAAACGTCTTAATAGAATTTTATTAGAGAAAGACGCGAACAAAGTGGTGACGGTTGTTGCCTACTTGTGTCAAGGTGACAAGTCAAAGGAAATATCGTACACGGATGCCAAAGTCATAGGGAACGGGTCATTTGGCGTTGTGTATCAAGCCAGACTCCTGGAAACTGATGAAATAGTCGCTGTAAAAAAAGTTCTTCAGGACAGGAGGTTCAAGGTGATCATTTCTTCAGTCTTGTATCGCCCTTTATTTTGTGGATAGTTTTTATCATTCATGTTATGTTATGTAAAACTAATTTTTTAATAGATGATAAGTATGTGTTCAGACAACCTACACAAACTCATCAACGCTCATCACACATCACTGGCAGCCAGGATATATAGTCTTCAATATGCCAGTTATGTTGTCCTTCCCTAGTATATTTATGTGCGAATACGACCACCGAAAATAAGTCATTTAAATGGGTAGAGACCACTTCCAGGAGTTCGTCCAGATGGATTGAGTCCAAAGGTATTCAAGGATGGTGGTCCAGTTTTAGCGGTTAGGTTGACTAATAGTTTAGCTAAAACAAAGGAGTTGGATGTAATCCCATTTGACTGGTTGCAATCATTGATTGTCCCATTATATAAGGAGGGGTCAAAATCATCCAATGATAACCATAGAGGGATTAGTTTAACTAGTATAACATCTAAAATACTAGCCTCAATTGTTGTCGGACGCTCAACAAAGACTCGTGAACTGCAAACACGAGGAAATCAGGCTGAGTTCACACCTGGTCCTGGCTGCATCGACCACATATTCGCCATTCGTCAGATCTTAGAACACAGACATGCTTATCGGCACCCGATAACGGTGGTCTTTCTTGACCTAAAAGCAGCATTTGACTCCGTGGACCGAGAGGTTCTGTGTCAGTGTCCGTCATTGAAAGGCGTACCTCATAAGTACATAAGCCGTGTGAAGGCTCTTCACTCGAACACTTCTAGTCGAAGATGATTGGAAGAAAGTCAGGGGCGACCAAACAAAAAACATGGAAAAAGTCCTTGAAAATACTAGCTTCTGGTCTGAGACATGTTGGTAATTGCAAACTACTTGGTTGGGATCCGTGCGACTATCGTATTAAGTGGTTGGAGACTGTGGATGACATGGCTCAGAATCGATCACAGTGGTGCCGGTGTATACACTCTGTCTTCCTCTAAGCAGTGAGATTAAAATTAATTAACACATTTTCTACGAACTGATTTTTCCCTTTGTATGATATTTTTATATGAAATCATTGTTTACTACCATAGAAATGACTACTTTTATGAATATGGTGTTCATTTTGTAATGCTTATGTGGTACGGCAACCTGACTTAATTACTTACGCCTGTTACTCCTCGTGAAGGAGCATAGGCCATCCACCAGCATTTGCCATCCAACCCTGTCCTGGGCAATCCTTTCCAGCTCCTTCCAGTTGTTATTCATCCTTTCCAGATCTGCTTTTATTTCCCGACGCAATGTGTTCTTTGGACTTCCTCTTTTCCGCTTCCCTTCAGGATTCCAAGCCAGGGCTTGCCTCGTGATGCAGTTTGATGATTTGCGTAATGTATGTCCTATCCATTTCCATCGTCTTTTCCTAATTTCTTCTTCAGCTGGAAGCTAGTTTGTTCTCTCCCACAAAAGGTTGTTGCTGATGGTATCTGCCCAATGGATGTTGAGTATCTTGCGTGGACAACCATTTGTAAATACTTGTACTTTTTTGATCGTGGTTGTTGTAGTTCTCCAAGTTTCAGCTCCGTACAGTAGAACTGCTTTGACGTTGGTATTGAAGATCCTCACTTTGATATTGGTTCATAGTTGTTTTGAGTTCCATATGTTCTTCAATTGTAGGAATGCGGCCCTTACTTTGCCAATCCTCGCCTTTACGTCTGCATCTGAACCTCCTTGTTCATCGACGATGCTTGCCAGGTGTGTGAAGGATTCTACGTCTTCCAGGGTTTCGCCATCAAGAGTGATTGGATTGCTGTTCTCCGTTCCGAATTTGAGGACCTCGGATTTCCCCTTGTGGATGTTGAGGCCTACTGATGCAGAGACTGCTGCTACACTGGCTGTCTTTATCTGCATTTGTTCGTGTGTATGCAATAGGAGGGCTAGGTCACCTGTGAAGTCCAAATCGTCTAATTGATTCTGAGCCGTCCATTGTATTCCGTGTTTTCCGTCAGATGTCGCGGTCTTCATAATCCAGTCGACCATCAGAAGAAAAAGGAAGGGAGAGAGTAGACAGTCTTGTCTGACTCCGGTCCTTACTTGGAATGCATCTGTCAGCTGTCCTCCATGCACGACTTTGCACTGTGGTCCATCATATGAGTTCCGGATAATATTGACAATCTTCTCAGGAACTCCATAGTGTCGAAGAAGTTTCCATAACGTCCTCCTGTCTACACTGTCAAATGCCTTTTCATAATCGATGAAGTTGATGTACAGTGACGAGTTCCACTCAACTGATTGTTCGACGATGATCCGTAGTGTCGCAATTTGGTCTGTGCACGACCGATCCTTACGGAATCCAGCTTGTTGATCTCGAAGTTGGGCGTCTACTTTGTCTTTCATCCGGCTCAGCTTCACTTTGTCAAAGACTTACCCTGGTATTGACAGTAGTGTGATTACTCTGTAGTTTTCACATTTGCTTAGGTCTCCTTTCTTTAGAATCTTGATGAAATGTCATTCTTTCCAGTCCATCGACACTTGTTCCTCCTCCCAAATCTTTTTGAATAGAAGGTGAAGCATGTTTGTAGTTACTTCGATGTCTAGCTTCAGTACTTCAGCTGGCACATTGTCGGGTCCTGCTGCTTTCCCGCTCTTGATTTGTCTGATGGCCATCCTGATTTCTTCCGTCAATGGTGGATTGACATCTATAGGAAGATGTGTGTGCTGCTTCTATGTCCGGTGGATTCATTGTAGCCGGCCTATTCAAGAGTTCTTCGAAGTACTCTACCCATCTAACCGCTGTTGTTGAATTTCCGTAATTGACCTGCCTTCTTTGTCCTTGACCGGTATCTTTGGTTTACTATATTTCCCTGCTAGTATCCCCGTTGTATCGTAAGGCTGTTTCATATTTTCTTCTCTTGTAGCTTTTTCTGCTATCGTTGCTAGTTCTTCCATGTATTTCTGCTTGTCGGCTCTATTGCTTTTCTTCTCTTGCTTGTTTGCTTCTATGTATTCAGCTTGTGCTTGGACTTTCTCTGCTCGTGTTTGGCTGTTGTTAATTGCTGTCTTCTTGTTCCTACCTTCTTTGACCATGTCCAGTGTTTCTATAGAGATCCATTCATTATGATGATGCTTCTTGAGGCCCAGAACCTCTTGACACGTTGAAGTTAGTGCTTCTTTGATACCTTTCCAGTTGTCGTCCATAGTAGTTTCTCCTTCTTTCAGTAGATCATGTAAGGCTTGGAATCTGTTGTTGACAGCTATCTTCAATTTATTGAGTTTGTCAGTATCTCAAAGGAAGGCTTTATTGAACCTTTGTAGTGCTGTTTGTCCAGTTGTCCAGTTCTTCTTTAGCTTCAGTTTTAAATTGGCCACAACTAGGTGGTGATCTGAAGCTATGTCAGCTCCTCTCCTGGTTCTCACATCTTCCATTGTCCTTCGGATTTTTTATTGATGCAGATATGATCTATCTGGTTCTCTGTAGTGTAGTCCGGTGAGATCCATGTAGCTTTGTGTATACAATTGTGTGGAAATATTGTGCCTCCTATGACCAATTTGTTGAATGCACACAGATTTGCAAGTCTTTCCCCATTTTCGTTTCTCTCTCCCAGTCCATGTCTTCCCATGATATCTTCATATCCAGTGTTGTCTATTCTGACTTTGGCGTTTAGATCTCCCATCAGAATGGTGACGATCTTTCTTGGGCACTCCTCTATGATTGGTTGCAGCCGCTCGTAGAATTGATCTTTAATGTCGTCGTTGCTATCATTGGTGGATGCATAACATTGGATAATATTCATTGTGATCCCCTCCTTCTTTGTTTTGAATGATGCTTTGATGATTCTGGATCCGTGAGATTCCCATCCTACAAGTGCATTTCGTGCTACTTTGGATAGCATAAGAGCGACTCCCTGAGTATGTGGAGCATTGTCCTCTTCGTGACCGGAGTATAGCAGCATCTCTCCCGTAGCTAGCCTTTTCTGTCCAGCTTGGGTTCAGTGGGTTTCGCTGATTCCCAGTACTGCCAAGTTGTATCTCCTCATTTCCGTTGCTATTTGGCTGGTCTTCCCGGTTTCCCACATTGTTCTAACGTTCCATGTACCTATAAAAATTTTTGCTCTGGTTGTTAGAAGGGGCATCGGCCTCGTGGCTTCCGAAGGAACTCGGCTTTCTCCATGAGGCGTCATAGTTCTTCTAAACAAAGACTTTCTAACTTCCAGGATAGAGTTTAAATGGTTTGAATTATTTTTTCTGGTTAGCGTTTTTTTAACAAGTTAGTTTTCTACTTGATGGGGTCGCTAACCGCATGCCCAACCCTTCTCTTTTACCCGGGCTTGGGACCGGCAGTAACTCTACAAGAGCTATAGGCGAAGTTACGGCAACCTGAACCGATGTATATATGTGTCTGGTCCATGGTTGTAGCTGAGTGACACAACTGCTAACGGAATTTCAATGAATACACTTTATAACAATATGTAAGCTAAATTCGGTCGACAATGTTATCCACTGCAGTAAAATTTGGTGTTCAGTCTTTTTTTTGGAATGTTTTATTATGTTTTGGTTCCCTCATAATAGGAAACCCAGTCAACAATACTTAAGTACGTATAGTAGTCAACATATGATTGAGATATATACGAGGCTCTGAATCAGACTATCCACTTCCTCTCAGAGACGAATTACAGTAAAATCAGTTTGCGTATAGTGACAAATCAAGTTCTTTGCTTTAATTAATATTTTCTGAGTAATTTTTCTTTTGAGAACTTGTGGATAGCAATGGCTTATCAGTGTTGATATTTAATCATCCTTCTACCCAAAATGAACTTCGTTATTTATTTTCAGAATCGAGAATTGCAAATTATGCGTCAGCTGGACCATCCAAATATTGTGCAGTTAAAGTACTTCTTTCACTCTGTGGGTGACAGAGTAAGCTGTTATGTTGTTTTTAAATATATCGTTATTATTGTATTTCATTTAGGATTTAGTTTCATGCTTTTGGTTTACATCTCATTCGTTCTGTTGTGTTCTTATTGATTTTTCGTATTGGTTAAAAGCGTAACTGTTGAAATCCAGTGATCGTATTATCAGTTCTATTTTGTATGAATTTTCCCATACGCACAGCTCAATTAGTCATTACCAACGTCAAAACCAAGCACAAATGTGTATCAGTCCGAGTTGCCTCGTCTCATCAGTATATCAAGTTGATAGTGTTAGTGGTAGTAAAAGTTGATTATAGTTCAAAAACAGGGGAAATCGAGGAATGGAAAGTATAAAATAGTATAAAAATCCGAATTTTGAAGGAAGATAACAAGTGAATGCATGTATGTCACTGCAATCGATCGTTAACCATGTCGTTGTAGCTGACTGAATATAAAATTCCCAATTACGGATTGTGGTTACTGTTCGAAATCCAACCCGGTAATCCGTAGCTGATGACAGCTGAGATAAATAATCACTGGCTTCATAAATTTGTCACCGGTCTTGGTCCAACAGTACCGAGAGATATCTGATGTTGTAGTTCATTGTGTACGAAATAATAGAGATTAAATAGTCCCTGAAGAACCAACTAGTTAACTAGGAGTCATTAACGTGTTATGCAATTATTTCGGCATAAAACGAAGCGTTATGTTAACTTGATATTAACGCTACAGAAAAAATGGTTATTTAGTCAACCATATTTAATATCGGGCGTAGTACGAATGTACGTCTACTTGCGTTGCTACAATGCATCATCACGGTACGGTGAAATTCACAAGATGAATTGTAAAACAGTCCAGATATTGGCGACATCAGTTATACTGAGAAACATTAAACATGGAAAGTTAAAGAATAATTCGAGGAATAAAAGACATGAAATAATATAAAACTTCGAGAAAATGTAGTGTAAAAACATGTGCACCAATAAGACTGATTCTAAACCAAACCACCCAAATTGAGGTACTGATTGCGGTTATCGCACGAATGTCAACTAAGTTTGCACCTCCCGACAGGTTTCAGTCTTACAACCACCGTCTTCATCGACTTATGTCACATATTAGTGTGATCCTCCTTTGGCATAAGTAACACTTTCTAATCATCTCATTCGATGGAGATTCAGTCTCATCGATCGACTTAACTGGTACCCTATGCCTAATCTCAAAATGACTCATCGTACACAGGCGATGCTTCAAAGATACTCATGATAAAATACTTGCTACCTGCATATGTCATACTTCAATAGGCTATGTTTCATACTAGTAACCTACGAATAATCTTAAAGATCACGTCTCAGCTATAATATATAACAAAGCGAACTGCTACAAAATGTACTCGCATCATCATTGGAGACGAACATTTCGTCGGTGATACAAGTGACGGGAGTTGAAAAAAGCCATGCGAAATTCCTGAATCCATATAGGTATTTTATCCAACGCCAACCCACAAGCCACCAAGTGCTCAGGCACGGCCGAGGGTGAGGAGCGCTAGCTCTCCCTCTCAAAATGCTCTCATATGGCCACGCGTATACAACTACTTCCAGGGAAGTCCCACTCACCGCTTTCTCGCAGTGAGGGTGTTGTTTAACGAAATTAAGAGGACGAAAAGCGGATTTCTGTCGCTTTAACAGGGTTGATGGATCCACCTAGGGCAGTTGGATAACCTTGATTTCAAACCAGTGGCGTACTTGGGCTCCAGGATCCTAAGGGAACAAATGGCGTATGAACCTATTGTTGGTCACCGGCTACCATGGGACTGCATCTCCTAACGTTACTCCGTTGCCTTATGGATTAAACCTATGGGTCAAAGGCTTGGAGTGTGTCCACTTAAGATAACCACCTGCTTCGAGTTGGACACCCGGGGAGTACTCCAGCCCTCACACATCAAATGATTTGTGGGGCGCATATGTATTTGGTGCCTTCTTGTATCAGTGTTTGTGTTTAAATAAAGAAATATCCCACAAGAGCTAATGTGACCTCCAGGATAAGTATTCTCGATGCTCTCAGTCACTTCACTCCATAATCAATCTAGCCACTAACTCGGAACAGTCTTAAAACAACATGTGGTACTTAGAAGGCGAGAAACTTATCTTAAAAATGTTTGGATTGTTACTCAAGGAAAGGTTTGGTTCTTACCTGCCAAATTACTTAAGTACACACATATAGGTTGTTTACAAGTTTTCGTAGTGGGAGTCAAAACACGAAGCGCACGTAAGTTATTTGGAATCGGCTACATATTTTTGGGAGCGCAAAGGTTAGTTGAATTAGTTTCAGTTAATCTTCCTTCTATTATAATGTGATTAATTTTCAAATGTTTTTACCAACTTTCCCCAGAAAGATGATGTCTATTTAAATTTGGTCCTTGAATTTATTCCGGAAACCGTATATCGTGTTGCCCGAAGATATGCCCGTCAAAAGGAAACAATTCCTCTTTTATTTGTAAAGGTAATTATTATTTTTTTTAGTAATTTTATTCCTATCAACATCAATCTCGCACCTTTCATGGATTTATTCAGTTTTTTATAAAATTTCGTTACAGTAGTAAAATGTTTCCATAACCATCATAACCTGTGAATCGATTGATTTAATTGATAGTCCATTTCATATCTGCTTGTAATTTTTAGGGGCTAATATTGTCTTGATCCACCCACTCAGCCTTTTTCCAACTCCAGTCAATCAACTCAGTGCGTCCGTAAAGGTGTACATGACACATGTCCTAATAGTCTTAATTGATAAGGATTCACAGCCTTGTCATATGCTTTGTCATTTATAGATGGTGCTATCTAGTAAACTAATCTTAGCATTACCCACTCTATGGTTCTGTCATACACTCAAAATTCTTCGAAAATACTTATTTCGGATACTAGTAGCCTGAAAGTATTTTGTACTACCATAATTTGTTCCGCTTGCGTAAAGCAATTCAAAACGGACTGGTTCACGTTATGCGTATCTTTGATGGGCAGTTGGACAAACTTTTTTTCCCATAGATGACATGGGTTGACTAAGGTCATCAGAGAGTTCACTAACCATCAACCCTCTAGAGTTGAAAAGACCCTCAATAACAGTGATGTGATCAAGTTGCTCAACTTATTTAGTTGTTATATTTAAACTAGACAATAACATAAAGGAGTTTTGAAGTGGCTTTTTGCATTTGTCACGCAAGGTGCACAGAACAGTGAACTTATCAGCGTCTTTTGCAAGTAAAACTAAACTATCTAACTCCCAAATTAACTAATATCTCAGTCAAATAGATAATTATAGACTGTTATTTTCAAAGACTTCTGGAATTACTAGTATAGGGGTTGTGGAGATTATTAAGTTTTTGATTGAGATCATGTACCGATTGATGTTAGACCATCACAATTGAAAACCTGGAAGCACTGGACGGCCGTTTCGTCCTATTGTGGGACTCCTCAGCAGTGCGCATCCACGACCCCGCGAGCGGGATTCGAACCCAGGGCCTTCGATCTCGCGCGCGAACGCTTAACCAACTGGACCACTGAGCCGGCATCCAATGGTGATAGTTTCTAACATCAACCAATCCACGAAACTGCGCGACCAACTTCCATTGTACTGAGGTAGATAACTGTCTCTACCCGACAAGGATTAGCTCAATCAAAAACTTAATAATCTCCACAACCCCTATACTAGTAATTAACATGTGCTCACTAGTGACTAGCTTCGTGAGGGAATTCTCGGAGTTCTAGTGAGAAGCCTTGACCAGTGGAGCTAATCCTTGTCGGGTAGAGACAGTTATCTACCTCAGTACAATGGAAGTTGGTCGCGCAGTTTCGTGGATTGGTTGATGTTAGAAACTATCACCATTGGATGCCGGCTCAGTTGTCCAGTTGGTTAAGCGTTCGCGCGCGAGATCGAAGGCCCTGGGTTCGAATCCCGCTCGCGGGGTCGTGGATGCGCACTGCTGAGGAGTCCCACAATAGGACGAAACGGCCGTCCAGTGCTTCCAGGTTTTCAATTGTGATGGTCTAACATCAATCGGTACATGATCTCAATCAAAAACTTCTGGAATTGACTCATCAATGTCTACTGCCTTCACTAAAATCTTAAAACTGGGTCTCAGTGTCATATTTTAGGTAGTTGGTTAATAGCGGGGATCATTTGTAAACGTAACGAATCGCAAATTTTTTTAGCCTTATGTTATGGTAGCATTAAATGTTATTATCACAAATTTGTCATTTCTGCTCCTTCTTGAGTCTTCTTTTTCACCCTATTTATCTCCAAGTAAATATGATAGTTGAAGAATTTTGTGGAGATATGTAATTTAAGTTCTCATAAGCTTTTAAAATTACGAAGATTTTCTTCCGTTTCCGTTAATTCTTTTTTCTCGTTTTTATCTCGATGGTTTAGCCAGTAAACTTTCATTTAAAATAAGACCACTAAACAGCCTGTAGGGTCTCAACATGTTTGTTTGGGTTTAACAATACAAACATTTTTAAAGTACACAATTAATATGACAACTTACAACGTACAAAATGACCTCATGATAACTAATGTGTACATTACTTTTACAAACAATCCACGTTTTATAAGTGATGCAAATTCATGGATAATCGGGTTGAAATTTCCCGAACTTGAACAGTTACATTCTTAAGATCTGTAACGTGGTGATTAATTAACTTGCTTCTTAATTCACATAGCGTTACAATGAACAACATCCTATCAGTAGTTGATACGCAGTTCATACGAATTAGTACAGTCCGAAAATTTATGTTTAATTGTTCGTTTACGTATAGTTCGTATTCTCATTTTTATTGCTATAGCAAATAATTTTACCCAGTTTTATTTGTACTTTATTTTATCTAAATTTATTCTGTTCACCTTGAAAATACCTTTGAATTACCTTTTTTATCATACCCTTCTCTACTAATCAAGGTTTTTCCACACTTTCTTATGACTACTTTTCTGTACAGGAAAAAGTACATGTACATGTACCGAGAACGTGCATGTACAGTTATTTTCCTAGGTTATGTGCATTTAAATTTGATAGCATGTAATCCTTTGATTTGATGAAAGCAAACAGTTATTATAGAAAAATTTCAAGTATTTTAATAACAACTGAGATAGACAGTTGTTATATAGCACGCTCCATCATCTCAGTTGGTGTACGTTTATGATCTCTTCTAACTTCCATGCTCTTGAATATATATCAACTCTTAACTAACTAATATGCTTTACTATTTGAAGTAACCTATTTAACGTCTTTGTTTTTATATGCTTCACTCTTTTTCTCGAATTCATCCTCTATCGGATTTAAGGAACTAACATTGATTTATTGTTTATATTGTCCCAGTCATAAACCAATCGAATTTCTCATGGTCAAGATTACGTCAACATATATTAGGTATATATGATGCTGTGGTGATATTTTTCTGACTAAGGATTAGTTGTGAAGAGTTTTATGTTACTCTTACTCAATATAAACTCTTCGAGCAGAGAATGTTTGATAGCTTTTTCAACGTTATTTACCAAGAATATTTTGAAAGAGAAATCTCCCATTTTGCTAAGGTCATCCTTTCACTTTATGTTAAGCAATTAACGTTTAGTTGCAATATTTTACTAAAAATATCCTCATTTTTCTATATGATGGAGATAAATCACACCTGATAAAATAATTAACTTTAAGAATGACTGAACACATTTTCATTCGTCCACATTTGATTAATTATATTTTGATAATGATGATTAAATTCAGACATGTCACACAAGTTAATGTTGATTTTCTCATTGCCATATGAAAATTGTACTTCTCATTGATATCATACTAAAATATGCTTTTTATTTTTCTTCACCTTAATATTTGTGTATTCTAATATTGTAAAATGGGATTAAATAAACAAAAGGTATAGGATTCTAAACGTTATGGTACGAGTAAATATGTGAAATAAATAGTGGAGTCTGTCACCTGTAAACAAAAACGTTGCCATACGCTACTTTTGTTTCTGAATTCACGTAAACTTCAGTTTATGTTTTCTTTTCCAGCTATATATGTACCAACTTTTCCGAAGTTTGGCTTACATACATCATAAAGGCATTTGTCATCGGGATATAAAACCCCAAAATTTACTTTTAAATCCAGCAACAGCTGTTTTGAAATTATGTGATTTCGGAAGGTTAGTTTACTGTATATAAGATTTTATTCTCGTATAGTAGTTTGTGTGATTTTCTGACAAATTGACTTGAGTAAAAGCTGCAATATGGCCTATGATTGTATCTAACAATTCATTGAGAAAATGTTGAATAACCAATGTGTCATGTACACTTACATGGTGTACATTCAACATTATTTGTGTTCCCTTGTATATGTTACTACGTCATCTTAAATATGGCAGATCTCCAGTCACGTTGAAAGGGGAATAACTCATTTATGAATGATGTATCCTGTATTGTTAGACAGGAATAATAAAACAATGCATAATGAAACCAAACTTGAAGTTGTGCATCGCAACTAGAAACGCTTTTTTTATCAGTGCACGTTGTTTAGTAACTGAACTTATTTTTGAATTGTGTTTCAACTGAATTATACTGGGGCGCATTAATTAAAAGATGGGATATGACATGAGGTATTTGTGTTTACCATATTCTCTGGTAAAATCAATGTCCTAATTTGTTGCCTACAGAGCATTTTCATCTCTTTCGCTGAAATTGATACAGGCTGTTTCATTTAAGACTTGAAAATAACTTGTTTTTATAGAATTTATTACTCCATACTGAGGGTTTTCTACTTATAGACTTCATTACAACTGTAATTAGTTAATTATTTTATCTCTTTAGTGCGAAGGTTTTAGTTCGCGGTGAACCTAACGTTTCTTACATATGTTCCCGTTATTACCGGGCTCCTGAATTGATATTTGGTGCTGTGGATTACACATGTCAGATTGGTAAGTGCAATATTCTGTGGGAAAGACTTCATTTTTAAATTTATCGGATCACCGGTTTTAAGCGGTCATTGAACAAGTGGTTGAACTACGTAGAATAGGTTCTGCTTGCCAATGACTGAGTAATACTCCATTCATAGCATTTCCTCATACTAGATATCTTCCGAATTTAGTGATGAAAACTAAACAGTATTAGAGTCAATGAAAAGATCCAGTTATTTGTAAAAAAAAATACAATTTAGTGCGAAATAAACACCTTTGTAAACAAGCAGGTTAAACTAAAGATAGCTCTGATTCTAACTTTGAATGCTCAATCTACAAGCTTAGTCTTTTCTCAGCTAATTTCTATGAAGGCAGTTTGTTGAAAGAAGTAATACGTCACTTAATTTCTATCTCGTAAAAAAGGATTTAGAACAAAGATATAGCACTTCTAGCTGTTTAGCTGGTGACATTATGTCCCCAAACACTTGGTCACCTGTTCACTAAATATCGTGCACAATTTTTAGGAAGTAAATCACACGTTAGTATAACGAATTGCAAACCAGTTTAGCTAGGCTTCTTAAAGTTTGGTATTTTCAACTAAGCCTTAAGTAACATACTCCATAATCATCTGGGATTAAGCCTAACTTCAGCTGGTTTTTGTTATAATGTATATATTATCGTTTTGAAACAAGGGTTTCTGTGAGTTGAACACGTATTGCACACGTCATCCTGACGGTTTCCATAATGAGAACATTTTGCTATAATTACTGTTTGCTTCAACAATGAAAATTTATTAACTTTGAAAAGCTATGTTGACTTAGCTCTAATTGGCACACCACAACTTTATCCTACTATTGGGATCAGTCAGTCAGTCAGCTACAACCTTGGACCAGGCACATATATACATCGGTCCAAGTTGCCATACCTCATTAGCACAGCAAGATGAACACCGGATACACAAAAGTAGTTACTTCGATTGTGGTAATGCCTAAGAGATTGTGCATAAGGATATAGTACAGGAAGAAAGAATTAGTTGATTGAAAAAAGATATGAAGCGATTTTAATCTCATAGTTTAAAGGAAGATAGAGAGTGTATACACCGACACCGCTGTGATCGATTCTGAGCCATGTCATCCACAGTCTCCAACCACTTAATACGATAGTCGCACGGATCCTAACCAAGTAGTTTACAATTACCAACATAGCTCAGACCAGAAGCTAGTATTTTCAAGGACTTTTTCCATGTTTTTTGTTTGGTCGCCCCTGACTTTCTTCTAATCATCTCCAACACTAGTCAGCATTGCGCGCCGTGCTAATCGGTGTTCAGGCATACGTAACGTGTGGTTCAACCATCTCAGTCGATGAAGACTCACAACCTTGTCAACTGATTTACTATCATTTTATTAATACCCCGCATCCAAACTCACTATTACGTACCCAGTGATCCCAGCAGGTACCAGCAATATTTCTGAGACTTCTTTGATCAAATATTGGTGACTTACGAATATCCTCTACTCATAATGGCCACATCTCGTAGCTGTAAAGTAGAACAGAACGAACTGCCACACAGTATACTCGTCCTTTAATTAATAGACGGATATCTCGCCTTCGCCATAATTCATGTATGTTGGCAAAATTCGAACGAGCTTTTTGAGTCGGCGCTGAGATTTCGTCAGACACCATCTGATCAGACTTCCAAGATAAGTGAAGTTGCGGCGTGTTCGACTACTTCACTCCCTATCCTTAGTTCGGGTGTTGACACAGGTCAGTCCTGAAGCAACAACTTGCATTTAGAGGGGGATAAACGCGTCCTAAAAACCTTGGCATTGTTGCCCAGTGCTGCCAAAATACTCTGCATTTTATCAGCGTCTTCATCAAGCAGAACTATGTCTTCTGCGTATTCTAAGTCAATAAGTAGACCTCCTGGTTGGAGATCGATGTCCGAAAATTCAGTCAACGAGAACGTTGTTTCCATTAGTATGTCCATAGTGAAATTGAACAAAAACGGAGAAAGTGGACAGCCTTGACGGACGCCACTTGAGGTTGAAAAAGCAGGTGACAGTTCACATAAGCTCGACTAGTAGTGTTCGAGTGAAAAGCCTTCACACGGCTTGTGTACTTCTGAGGTACGCCTTTCAATGACAGACACTGACACAGAACCTCTCGGTCTACGGAGTCAAATGCTGCTTTTAGGTCAAGAAAGACCACCGTTATCGGGTGCCGATAAGCATGTCTGTGTTCTAAGATCTGACGAATGGCGAATATGTGGTCGATGCAGCCAGGACCAGGTGTGAACTCAGCCTGATTTCCTCGTGTTTGCAGTTCACGAGTCTTTGTTGAGCGTCCGACAACAATTGAGGCTAGTATTTTAGATGTTATACTAGTTAAACTAATCCCTCTATGGTTATCATTGGATGATTTTGACCCCTTATGTATTATTTCTGTAGTGTTTTTCTGGACTTAAATTCTTAATCGTTTTTTCGATTATAACTCATTTGTTTGTGTCTGCAGATGTTTGGTCAGCTGGTTGTGTACTTGCTGAACTTTTGTTAGGTCAGCCAATTTTTCCTGGCGAAAGCGGTGTAGACCAGCTTGTTGAAATTATAAAAATCTTAGGTACTCCTTCCCGCGAACAAATTCACGAAATGAATCCTGACTATCGAGAATTTAAATTTCCACAGATTAAACCTCATCTCTGGTCAAAAGTAAGATATTCTTTGTGGTTTTTTGTTAAAGTTATCTTGATTTGTAATACGATTTTTTGTGCTCAAACTGAATAATAGTTTGTGTGTTCCACATATTTCTTGTCCCTTTGAATTTCATATTTTATTTCTTGTCGAAGATAAAGCAGAATAGACACAAAGTTGATATTGTTTTACTGCTACCTACGTTGTCTCATATTTTACTATTATGAACTGGTGATAACTGCAGCAATGATTTAAAATAGACATAACTGTCTGTTTCATGTATTATCAGAGCTGATTTATGCTATGACGTTTGGGATATTCGTTTCTCTAGATCTAATCTTATCTCAAGAAGTAACCGATAGTTTACCATCACTCCAAAATCAGGAATTTAATATGTAAAATCCGCATTTGAACGCGAAGCTAATTCTTCCAACTGTTTCAGCACAGTTACAGCGATGTGTAGATTAGAAACTCTCTTATCAATAAATATAATGCGCTTGCATTTCTGTTAATTGATCGAGTTTAAAAATATTGTTCTTGTTACTGGACAGATAAAAACACTTGACAAGTTTTTGCAACTTGCGAGTATATAACATCGGTGAAAGTTGTAGACCTTAAAGTTATGTTGTTTACCGAAACGAAGGATAGCCTTACTGCTATAGGCAATTAAGGTTTAGTCATTTCTTTTTTTATGATCGTTCGTCTAATATTTATTATTATGAAAGCTTTTAAGTTCGAATATGCAGAGTTTATGATCCCATGGAAATTCTGATTGTTCAGTGAGAAAATTACAACAGAGGTTTCTAAACACCTCGACGATCAACTTAAAAAGATAATGAAATGGTATATATTAATTATTGAAGGCTATCACTCCCCTTGGGACATAGATCACCGAATAGGGATGTCCAGTCAATTCTGTTGTGCGTTCTACTTTCCAGTTGTTGTCAAGATGTCTTCATGATCTTGATGTCTGACTCCAATTCCTGATGCTACGTGTCCTTGGTCTGCCTCTTCTCCATTGGCCTTAAGGATTCAAATTTATTTATTATTTATTTATTTATTTGGACACAAATATTGGTACAAGAGGGCACCAAATATATGCGCCACACAAAACAATAAGGATTCGAAGAAAAAAAAGAACAATAACGAACAGATTAGTGTACGGTAGTGTAATAATAGTAATAATAGTAATAATTATAATGATAATAATGGGGGAAACGGAAAGGTGCAATCAGAAGAAATCTTTCAGTTAAAGAAGATGCGACCACTTTTTATGAAGAAAGTAAAAGAAGGTTACAGCAGGATCGCCACCGGCTTCTATCCTGAGCCATATCTGATAACGTCTCTAGCCACTGTGTTGCACCATCTCTCGGACTCCAATCAGAAAGTCGTGAAGGACCAACACAAGCCAGTCCTTTGCAGCATTCTTTCATACCACGACACCATGTCATGCACTGACCACCTCTCTGCTTTATCCAACCAGTCCCAGCGTCGGCAAATAATACACGACGTGGAATTCTCTGGGACGACATTCGTAGAACATGTCCAAGCCACCGAAGTCGATGTTTCAAGATGGTGACACCAATTGGGTTGTCGTCTATGTGCCTGAACACACGATGCCGAACCTCTGCATTACTAACACGGTGTTGCCACTGAATGTCAGCAATCCTCCGGAGACAACGATGATCAAACACAGAGAGTCGTCTAACATCCGAACGAAGTGAACCCTTTTTAAAGATAGGGACAACTATCGGCTCATTCCATAACGTTGGCACACTCTCGAGCTCCCAGACCTTTGTAAACAACGTCGTCAGTTCCTTAGTCAGAAAGTCACCACCATCTTTAAAAAGAGCCGGAGGTAAGTCGTGTGGACCAGGTGATTTGTAGTGCTTCAAGAGTTGGAGTTCCCTGAGGACTTCCGCCTCATTTGGTGGATCAGTCGTCACCGGCCATGGAGGGCAGGACAGTTCGATCGATGTTGCCGGAACAGCAGTCCAGTTGAACTGCCCTTCGAAGAATTCTGCCCATCGTCCAAGACGTCGATGAATGTTAGTGATTGGCATCCCATCATCCTCGCAGTTTGTTTCGCTCACTCCAGACTTCTTGCTGCCAGTGGCTCGGATGAGTTGGAAGAGCCTCCGGTAATTACCAGATGCAGCTGCTGCTTCCAACTCATTAGCACGCTCCGACCACCAGGCTTCTCGGTCCTTACACAAGCTTTGCCCGATTTCATTACGTAACATCCTTCGTTTGTGGTCAAACTCACGGTCACTCGGAGTAGACCGACGAGCGTCGATGAGTTGTAAGGAACCAGAAGAAACCCAGTGCTTATAAGCGGGACGTTTCGCGAACCCACAACTGACTGTACCCGCCATTTTCATGGCGTCATGCAATTGCAGCCAATGGTAGCTAGCCTAGAAACTAGCTCGGTTCGATACTTACTTGCAACAGAAGTTGCAACCGGGTTGCTAACATCAATCCGTTGGTGGTGGTTACTTCGTTGTCCACTGAAAAGTAAGGTAAGATTGGCGCAGACCAAGGCATGGTCAGAGTCCAGATAAGTACTCCAAAAGGAGCGGCAGTCTTGTACACAACCACGCCTGCGGTAGCTGATCGTGATATGATCAATCTGAGTCCAGGCTTGAGATGCGGAGAGAGGACACCAGGTGGCACATCGGCGATGACTGTGCCGGAAGTTAGTGCTAGCCAGAAACAGGTTGTGGTCTGTGCACAGTTGCAGTAGACGGTCCCCGTTATCTGATCTGCGACCAACAAGTTCCCATCGGCCACCTAAACGATTCTCTTCTGTGCCTAGACGCCCGACGTGAGCATTCAAGTCTCCGGCTAGTACTACAATATCTGTCGAACGCATTTTCTGGAGAAGAACAGTTAACTGGTGGTAGAATTCATCCTTGATTGCATCCGGGCTGCAATCTGTCGGGGCATAGGCGGAGATGACGAAAAGACATCGTTTCTCACACCGATTTCTTCTCACTTTGATGGAACTTTCTAATCTAACAGCACATAAGCGACTGTTTATGAGTCATTTATGATGTAGTTTGATGATCTGAACAATGAGTGTTTCATTGACCTCCAGTATCTTTCCTTAATTTCCTCCCCAGTTGGTAGCTGGTTTGTTTCTCTGCCACAGTAGGTTATCGCTGCTTGTTTCTGGTCAATGGACCTAGAGCATTTTGCGTAGACAGCTGTCTATGAATATTTGTACTTTTTGGTGATGTTGCTGACAGTTTTCCAAGTTTTAGCTCCGTACAATAGCACTATCTTAAAGTTTGTGTTGGAAATTGTGATTGGTTTTGTGTGACAGTTGTTTTGAGTTACAGAAATTCTCTGATTGTAAGGATGCTGCCATTCCTTCGCTAACTCGTCCTTTGATGTATTCATCAGATTCTCTATGTTTATCATTGGTAGTGCTTAGATGCGTAATTTCTTCCACCTCTTCGAGAGATTCATGATCAAGTGTGGTTTTGTTGGGTCTTTATGCGTTGTATTATGGGGTCTTGGTTTATCCATTGGGAATACTGAGGTGTACTGCTGCGGAAACCGCGGCTGTACTTTCGGTATTCGTTCTGCATTTGTTGCCGTGTGTGCAATAGAAGAGCTAAGCCATCTTCAAATAACCCAGCCGTGTCCAAGGTGTCCATTTTATCGCGTGCTTCACCTGAGATGTGCAAACCTTCATAATCCATTCAGTGACCAGAAGAAAGATGAGGGGCGAGAGTACGCAGTCTCATCTGACACTGATCTTCTCTTGGAACGCATCTGTGATCTGCCTTCCATTACCCACTATGTAATTCAGTCTGTCGTAGAAGTTTCATATGGTGGTGACTATCTCTCCGGCCACTCCATATGAAGATTGTTCCATTAGGTTCACCTATCCACGCTGTTAATTGCTTTTCCATAGTCAAGGAAGTTGATGTATGATGAGTTCTATTCACTTGATTACTCAACGAATGATCTGTAGTGTTGGGACTTGTTGTGTACATGATTTATCCTTACGAAAGCTGGCATGTTTATCTTGCAGTTGAGCGTCTGCTGAATTTTTCATTTGCTTCAACAACACTGTCAAAAACTCCGTCTGGTACTAGCATCAATGTGATGCCTCCATAGCTCTCACACTTACTAAGGTCTTATGATTGTTGTCTTGATGTGGCATCTCTCTTACCAGTATTCCGGTACTTGTTATTCCTTATGAATCTTTCTGAATATAATAGCATTTTTTCAGTTTCTTCTATGTTTGACTTTAGTGAATCAGCTGATATGTTGTCAGGTCTTTCTGCTTTCCCACTCTTAATTTGTCTGATGGCCATGCTGATTTCTTCGTTTGCTGGTAGGATAAGGTCTGTGTGTGCTACTTCAATGTCCGATAGGTTCAGTAGTGCTACCCTGTTAAAGTGCTCTAAATGGTGGATGCCGTTTTTTAATAATCCATTTAATTAACCAATGTTATTATTAATGTGAAGCAATAACGTCGCATTTCGCGGTCAAAGATTCCATGTCTAATCTTTGCTTTTTCACTCTAAATATACACAATGATAAAAGTTGATTTTACTAGTGTTGAAATATGTGATAACACAATATATCCTGTATGCACAATCACTAATGAGTGGTTGTTCAGTTGAACACTATCTAAAAAGATTTTATGGGTTTTTTAGCTTGCGATTTCCTTGTTACAGGGTAGAATATCGTGTGAAGTTGTAGGCGACTAATAGATTAAGATTTATCAGCTTAATGTCTCGTAGTTATTTGGGAAAATCTCTAATCGATTAAAGCCACTAGAACAAAGAGTGAAATCTTATGTTTAAACAATATATATATATAAATCGCCAATTAGAAACATCGAATCAACCTCGACGCTGCGTCAAACCACTGACGCGTTAATCGGTACGAGCAATCTACAGTCAGCTCTGAGCTCTTATTGATCCTCTGAAATAGTAGCTTCTCGCCTAACTCAACCGATTCAGTCTAGAACGCGAATATCAGCCTCCGCCATATGAATCGTGTGTTTCTAACATACGAAGTTTATATACATGCAAACCAGACCACATCATACCATAAAATAGTAGATTATAAGTATACAAGATCAAGCCAAAAGTGTCTGTGAGTGTGAGAATCTGTAACTAATAATATGAGAGTAATTTAAAAATAGTAAATCATATAATAGTAGTCAATAGGTCCAATAAAAGCTTATAATAAAAGGAACGTGAATATACATATAATATAGTTACTTAATAGTTATACAATTATATATACTATAAATAGATCCTAAGAGTTACCATTCACTTATTTTTCGTTCGGACATAACAATATCGTTCCTTATTTTGTTTGTAATTCTTGCAATGCATTGATTGGTTATTGATGTTGATGATTGTTAGTATTAGAATCGTCATTTCCAAATACACATAGTATATATTATATATCCACTGAATATATGCTTGTACCTTAAACCCATTTCGTTTGAACTAATGCTACTGCTCGCTTTCCAATCGGTTAATAAAAATGGATTATAAAAAGTGTAAGAAAAGTTATATATGTTTAACTATCAATATAAATGCGGTCATAAAAAGTATAGATGTATGTACAAGTGGTGGTTTATCGGCTAAAGCGTTCGGCTTGCAGCTACTAAGTCTCAGTTTCGATCGCCGCTCCACCTACTTCGATTTAAGCTCTGGGTTAGTGTCACCAACTTTACTGTGTGGCTCATAACCATTTTGACGTTTATAGATAAGAAAATCGTACGGATTACCCAAATATATTTACGTTATATTTTAGCGTAATAATACATAACAATTTGTATATTTCCAATATTACCACAGGAATTGTTTCCTATTTCCCTTCCACTAAATGGTAAATTTGCTGTTGTAATAAATCTGTTTAGCACAAAGTAATTTCTGTACTGTTTGTAACATAACTGAATTTCACCATAGTGGTCATGTAATAGGGTAGGTGAATATTGTCTTGTTTATCATATAGAGCTTTTACTTATACATACTTGTAAGTAATCTCTAAGAAATATCTACATGAATACATTTTTCTGATAATAATTATAATAGCACTGGACGAATAATATTTGTTGGTTATCAGTTTCAATGAATCTTGAATTTCAGGTCGAATTTCTATACTTTTGTCATATATATGACGTCCGTCTAGAAAGCATGGGACGTAACGTTTTAAAAATACCGACTGTCGTAAAATGATCAGTCAGTTATTGCTTAATTAGGTGAATACCAGTATTTCAAACTCGTTAGAAATATAGTGGAGTTGACTAGTTTTCAACGAAGCTTTTTTATTACCTGCAAACAAAATAGTAGGGTGAGATATTTTGTCATGAATTTTATGGATTGTGCTTGTTATAATATATATCTTTTAACGAAAATTTTTGATAAACATCGTTTATGCAGATATATTCAATATAATGCACGATTAATTAGGTGTAATTTGGTTCATAATATTGTCAACATTTTTGTTTCAATTTCGCACATTCACCCCTTTTTTAAACTTTTCCTTAGGTTTTTCGTCCTCGCGTTCCATCGGAAGCAATTCAGTTGGTGTCACAGTTACTTGACTACACACCCTCAAAACGTTTAGAACCGTTAGATGCTTGTTTACATTGCTTTTTCGATGAGTTAAGACAAGAAGGAACTAGACTTCCCAATGACAGACCTCTACCTCCATTATTTAATTTGACACCCTACGGTGAGTATCTGAATTTCACTATTATTATTAGCATCATTATGTTGATTAATTGTGTAATACTGCAATATATTTGTCTGTTCTTTACGGATAAAAAATTGCTTCTCTACTGTCAGGCTATATTGAAGCATCGACAACATGTTGATGTAAGTTAAAACACTGGAATTTTGAACTGTTTTACATCATATAAACATTATGCTTAGTTTAAATCAAGTCATTATTGTGTGTATCTATACTGTTGACTATCAAATGGTGTTGCTATCCTGATATCTGAATGTTCTCTTCATTTATTCTATTTTTAGCCTAATTCTTACGCTATAATAAAGTGTGTATAAAAATGTTAATTTGTATACCGATTTTGTTTGATTACTTATTTCTGTTCTATTTTCTCTCTCTCTCGTTTTCTCTTTCGATAATTGTAAGCTGTATTTTCAATATCAATAAAGTTTTACACTTTTCCAGGTACGAATTTAATGTTCGCATAAAATTGATTTTTATTAATTTCGTATTTATTGTTCTGTATAGTAGTGTATAACTCAACAAAATTACTTATTGTCTATATTTTAAACAAACTCCGACTGTAACTCTCCCAGGGTTACTGCCGGTCCGAACCTCCGGTAAAGGAGGAGGGTGGGGCATGTGGTCAGCAACTCCATCCCGTAGAAAACAACCTTGCTATGAAACACTAACCAAAATCAACATATTAAACCATCTAGACTGCCATATCCGTAGGTTACTAGTATTTGATCATAGGTGCCTTCGAAATATTGCTCGTATATCCTGGGACCATCGAGTAAGTAACACAGTTGTTAGGAAACGGGTACTAGGTAAGGATGGGAAATCAATTGATGACGTAGTGAAACTTCACCAATTGAGATGGCTGGGACATGTGTCACATATGCCCAACGACCGACTGCCTCGATGTGCGATGTTTTATTGTATAGGAGTAGGTTGGAAGAAAGCTAGGGGCGGCCAGACCAAAACATAGCACAAATCCATGAAAACATTGACAAGTGGACTGAGCCATGTTGGTAGGTGTAGATTACCTGGTTGGTTAGAGACCCTGGTGCATCCACTTTTTGTGTTCTCCCAAATTCTAATCTTCTGACTTCTTCATATTCCTTTCTTTTTTCTCTTTCCAAATTTATTTCACTGGATTATACTCCTTGAATAACATCTTCAAACCCTAACTTTTCTGATTACAGCTTATAATTTTACTACATCTAGCACTACGGGATTTGAATCGACCACTGCATCTCTGTGCTAATGTGGTGTAGCAACTCGAACTGATGTACGAACGTACGAAGTTCTACGTTGTCACTGACTGACTAGACTCTGCCCTCCGAATTGAAAGAAGAATTATGACGCCTCATGAGGAAAGCCGAGATTCTTTGAAAGTCACGAGGCTGATGCCCTTTCCTACAACCAGAGCGACAATTTTTATAAGTAAATGGAATGTCAGGATAATGTGCGAGACCGGGAGAACCGATCAAATAGCAAAGGAAACGAGGGGATATAGCTTGGTGGTGCTCGGAATCATTGAAACCCATTGGATTCAAGCTGGACAACAAATGTTAGATTTGGGAGAGATGCTGCTATACTCAGGTCACGAACAGGAAAATGCCTTACATACAAGGAGTTGCACTGATGCTGTCCAATGAAGCACTGAAGTCGGACATAGAAGTAACTACGAATATTCTCCACATTGTAATCAGGATTTGGGAGGGAGAAGTGCCACAGGCAGACTGAAAATAAGGATATCTCATCAGAATACCAAAGAAAGGAGATCTGAGCAAATATGAGCACTACAGAGACACACTACTATCGGTACCAGAAAAGGTTTTCAACAGAGTGTAGCTGAACCGGATGAAAGATTCAGTAAACACTCAACTTCGAGATCAACAGCCTGGATTCCGTAATATGACCGGTCATGTAAAGACCAAATCTCCCTTTTATCTTCTGGTGGTTGACTTGATTATGAAATCCTCCACATCTGACGGGAAGCACGGAATACAACGGACAGGTTGGGTGCAACTAGACGATCTGGACTTCGCAAATGACTTAGCTGTTCCATCCCATACATACGAGCAAATGCAGATCAAGTCAACCAATGTGGCATCAACCTCTGCAACAATAGGCCTCAACATACACAAGGGAAAAAGTAAAATCCTCAAATACAACGTGGAGAACATCAACCTAATCACATTTGAAGGAGAAGCTCGGGAAGAGGCGAAAACTTTCACGTATCTGGGTAGCATCATCGATGAATAAGGTGGATCTGATGCAGACGTAAAGGCAAGGATTAGCAAAGCAAGTACAGCATTCTTACACTTCAAGAATATATAGAACTCAAAACAACTGTTAACCAACATCAAAGTTTTAATCTTCAATACGAACGTCAAAACGGTTCTACTATACGGAGCTGGAGATTGGAGAGCTACTACAGCCATCATCAAAAAAGTACAAGTATTTATTAACAGTTGTCGACACAAAGTACTGAATATCTGTTGACTGGGTACCATCAGCAACAACCTACTGTGGGAATGAACAAACCAGTTTCCATGTGAAGAGGAAATTACGAAAAGACGCTGGAAGTATGTAGGACATACATTGCAGAAACCATCAAACTGCATCAGTAGGCAAGCCCTAACTTAGAATCGTGAAGGGAAACGGAAAAGAGGAAGACCAAAGGACACATTGTGTTGGGAATTGGAAATGGTTATCGAAATAATGATTAGCAACTGCAAAGGATTGCCCAGGACAGAATTGTATGGAGAATGCTTTTTGGCGGCCTATGATTCTCCATGAGGGGTAAGAGGCGTAGGTAAGTATGTAAGTATAATTTAAACAAGAAAAATACATGTGAAATTGAGTGGTAAAATTATTATTTAAATTTAGCATCACTCGTTCATAATTTACAACATATCTCTGTGATAGTTATTCCAATTATCAGTATTGCGTACTTTTTTTTAGGAACTATCGATTTCAAATAAAATAATACCAATCTGATGAATTTGTCAGCCATTTGTAATAATCAATATTACTTGAAATTGTTAGAATACCCTCTTGATTGAAATAATCCTTTTCCTATACTATGATTTTTTAAATATTTCCTCCAAATTTCCTGGTATGACAGAGGGTCACAGAAGTCCTACTCACTGCCTTCTCGCAGTGGGTTTATTGTTCATGAAATTGAGAGGACGAAAAGCGAATGTTCGGTGCTTTAACAGGGTTGGTGGACATGGGGGGTCCACCTATGGTATTTGGAAAACCTAGGTTCCAAACCAATGATGAACATGGGCTCCATGATCCTAAGGGAACGAATGGTTTATGAACTTATTGTTGGTCACCGGCTACCATGGGACTGCATCTCCTGACGTCGCTCGACTGCCTTGTGCATTAGACCTTTCGGTCGAAAACCCCGGGTGTAACCTCCTAAGGAGACCACCTTTTCTGTCTGGGCACCCGAGCAGTATCACAGTCCACACAAAAATCAAGTGACTTGTGTGGCGCTTATGTGTTCGGTGCTCCTTTGTACTAATATTTATGTGTTCAAGTAATAGTAATCTGTTGATTTCGTTTTTATACTTTTAGAAATGACTATGCGAGATGATATGTACAAATTTCTCCCACCTCGAACATCCGGAGGAGCTGGGGGATCAGAGTCAAGTTTACCACCTACTTCGGATCTTTCAATGGTAGAACAACCACAACCGCATCATATAACAGATGCTGTTGATCGCACGGGACAAAATCACAATCCCTCTACATCAGAAGGTAGTAAATTATCGGATTCAGAAATTCGATTAGCAGTTGTAGCTCCATCTCGCAGTTCGGATAACATACAACTCATATCAAATAACAGTAACAACAATGATAATAACAACAATATTGATATACCTCATCAATTGAAAGATTCCTGCCATGAAGAGTTAGAATCCAGGAATATTCAAGGTGTCAATAGTTAAAGATAATGATCACATTGTGTCTATCTATAAAATTTATTCACTATATTTGTCCTCATGTGACATTTGTTAAATTCCGAAATTCAATATCACGAAACAAGGATGAAAAACCATTCAACTCAGGTTTCTCGTCCAGTTTATTCCTCCTGAGACAAGTACTAATTATATACATGTACAAATATTTACCAATATAATCAGTAATATTTCTTAAGATTAATGAAGCTCCTTCCTGTAGATGACAATCAAAATGACACAGAATTATAGTGACAAAGTAATTTGTTTTATTCCTATTTTAGGATTTCACTTATTTTCCATTTCTGTACAAACATACTCTCACATTCACTATTTAATGATCATTTCTCATGTAATTTCAATCATATCCACTCTCTTTCAATCACTTTAATTAATAACATCTACATATTTTGTGTGTGTGTTTTTTTGTTCATTCATGTATGCTACATTTAATGTTGTAGTTTGTTTATTTTCAACATTGGCACTTGGTTTTTTTTATCATTTTTTTCTGATTACCTTACTTTGTTTGTTTTTTCTGCCTAAATGTGACAATGCTATTTGAAAAGTAAATGAGTAGTCGTTTACACGAAATATCCTTTGGTTACAACTCTTTATATTGTCTTCTAACTATTTCTGTTTTTTAAGTGATAATCAATGAAAGTATTTGTTTATTAAGTGGTACAGTGCAACATTTAAAAATTTGTTTTCTAAATGTATGTCAACTGTAATGTTTCTTTATTTTTTTTCGTAGTGTTTTCTTAACATTCTCTTAAATTACAATGATCTTCATTGTGACTACAGTTGTTTATCATTCCTGTTATTAATACTGCATGCGGCGCCCGATAAACATTATATATATATATATATATCGGTTACAAAACAGACATCTTTCTTTCACATATTACGGCATTTTTTTCTCGTCACTGCTCTCCTGTTGGTTCGTCTTTCATATCATATCATATATAAATACATATATATGCCATTATAGATTATAATTATAGACAAGTATATCAATTTACGATCATGATGTTTAATAGAATCCTTGAGCATTTTTCTTTCCGTATACACCACTTTGTCTTTTTTTGCAATGACTTTAATGAATATTTCCGTCCATTAGAAACTTAATCAGTAGATAGGCAGGCTGCAAAAATATGTGGACTAGTCACATTACAAACAATATTTTATGTAATGATTTGTATTTGAGAAAAATAATTTCAATAATTAAAGGAACCACCGAGTTACAGATTGACATGTTGTGATTTCACATTCACTGATCTCTATTTCTATATAATACGCACCTTAATTAGTTATATGGGAGAAAAATGCGTTTACTTTGTGTGTTTATCTTCATATACTTTCGTACCTACGTGTTATTCTGTCATATTTCTATGAACAGTTTTTAATTTTCCGTGCGTATCTAATGTAATATATTGATCAATATAATATACATATGTAGTACAACTTGTGTTCTTTTCTATCATTCATATGTAATCATCTTTTATTTAATTCACCAACGTATAACTATTAATCCTAGTTCTGTCCAAAATTTAAGCTGTTATAAATTACATTACAATATCAATCCCCTCCCATATCTGTGTAATTGAATAATTACACAAACCATATATTATATTTTGTATCATTATGATAACTGTCACTCAGTTTATTCAAGAAAAGCAAAAATGAAGGAGATTAAATAAAGAATTTGTAAACTTTGTCAACTTTGTGCTTTTTCTGTGCTACATTTCTATTTCTTCTTTCATACATAATAAATAGTAAGTGGTGGTCTAGCTGCATAGTCTTTTTTATTCTAAAAAATCAAACAGTTTAGTGTCTGTTCAGAATTTTTAACCGTTTATTAATATAATGAATACTTATACGTGAATATCGTGTAGGACGATGTAAAATAATCGGTCTTATATACTCGAGTATAAGTTGAGACCGCCATTTTGTAATTGAATTTATAAAAGTAAATAGTTATTGTCAAACACCATAAAGTATATTTACTTGGCTCTTGGTGAATTCATGAATTAGTACAAAGTTATATCCACTCCTGGTTTTTTTTTCAAGTTACCATTATTATTATTGCAAGTAACAACCACTTTATGGTTCGTTTATACAGATAACATGTAAGACGCCTGACATATTACGTACACGAACATAGTAACTAAGCTTTTGTAAGCGGAATACTATGTTATCATTTGCAAACTTTCGACTGGTTGGAGGAAATCTATGCCTTGTAGCAGCTCTTCTACATATTTATGATCATCATTACTCTTAATACTACTCCGTTCAAAGTCAATTTACTGAAGGTCGACCCTAAAAATGCACATCCCACCTTATCCCACGGATATCCGTCTCCGACGGTAAGGTCTCAACAAGTACGGAGCTAACACAGAAACTACTCATAAAAAGGTCGTGTGTGACCGACCTCAAGCATCTGTCCCTTGGGCACTGCGGTCACGCTCTCAGATCATTATGACCACCTCTAATCCAATTTCCTTTTCAGGTACCTCCAGGAGAACCCTTCCACGGTGTGGACAACTGAGAAGTGATAACCGCCTTCATAACTCTAACAGCACTCAAAACTGATTGACTGGAGGTCTCATTTTTGTCCTGCAAAGACTACAGTTCCGTCTTCATTTGAATAAACCAACTAATTGGCAGTTAGTTTACCGCATAACTAGGTACATCAAATATAACATTGCTATGGCATGATGTATTGGTGTCTGTTACTCTACTAATAACTGGAAATTTTTCAGGTTGGCATTTCTCTTGTCATACTGCTTCTTACATATCTTACGTCTCATCACTGGTTTACTCAAAAAGCTATTTTTCCAATTAGTTCATAAGTAGCCCTCAATATTTCATGAATTTTCTGAGAGTTTCTCAAGTTTCATCGAAAACTTTAGTTCTGAAGTTTTCACACAAAAATTATTATATCAAGTAGTATATAGGATTATTTCAAGGAGATGCTCATTCCCAAATTTGTGTGCAAATTGTCTGTTTTAAATGGTATATTCAGCTTTAATGAATCGGAAAGATATTTTTGCATGTTGTCTCTTGCTGACTAGAAATCTAGGTTTTGGTATGAAGAGTGAATTATTATTACAATAGTTTCTGTTGGTACACTGATCTGTTATTTACAATTGATTGATTACTGAGTAGGGACCGGTGTCATGTATGTCAAGTCTTTCTCAGTTCTGAATCGATCTAGTTGTAATATGGCCATTAATCTTACTGACTCGATATCGTGTGCACTATGCTGAGGTGTAAGTTGGTGCTTGGAGGTGGTCAACAAGAAACTGGAGCTGAGTTTAGTCCTCTTTGGCTTTCTCCAGCAAGATGTACCTGTAACCTAATTGGAACTGATGCTCCCTAATAGATTCGATCCTGTGTCACAGCTTCGTAATCAGAGAATATCCAGCTCAATGAACGTTGTAGTGTTGGTCACTATTTCAAGCCCATATAGTTTCCGGACGTGCCAATTTATTCATTCTTCTTGAGTCACATTTTGACCTTGTTAATTATTCGCTTATTAACCTTGACGTTTTATGTAAACGTATGTGTATGCATTTCTTATCTTACAAGTCACATGTCTAACTTATTTTTGGTCGGCTATAAATGTCGATTCACACTTGGTTAAATCGAGTTGGCTTACATGCCTTCACCGCGCGTCATTTCACTTCACTCTCTCCTCTTCGTTTATCTGGATCAACCATTGTATGCAATATACGTATTGGAAATTCATCCTTGTATTTGACTTATTTAATTCTGTTATTCGCCAACGTATATTAAGTCGGTAATTATATGCGAGGATTGGCGGCATGTATATTTCAATAAAAATCAATCATACAATCATTTATATCATCCAAATGGAGTCAGATCTCGGGCCACAAAAACGCAATACCGCCAAAGAATTGGATGGTGGCACTTACTGTAACATATACGGAAGTTTATGTTTGTCATATCAGTTTCACTATATAGATTGTGCTTTTCATATTACCTCATGGTTGCTAGTTTAATATTCTTGCTTCACATTTATATCTAAATTCAGTATTCCCACTTGACAAACTACCAAGTTACTGAATTAATCCGAGTCACCCACGTTTCCATCATATCTTTGTATTGGTTGAAGAATTCGTAAACAGCCATACATTTATTAATGACATTTGTGTTCATAAACAAGACATCACATACCGGTATTTTTTCCACTCAATGATCATCGGTAGTGATCTTAGCTTATGTATAATTAGTCAAGAAATTTTCCTCAAAAAAGATTTGTGTACATAACTTTAAAAGGTTTGGTGAACAAGTATTTTCATATAAAATTCGATAGCTTTACTGTTCACTTCATATGTGTGTAATAGTGAACATCTGGTTTTGGATTACTAGCTGTAAGGCCTTATCAAATGCTTGTCGTAAAGACGTAACCAACCAATCCAGGTTAATATACACTGTGATTCTTTATGAAATTTATGCAATTACTGGAATAATCCATAATAAATGTTCGGCTTAATAATTAAACTTATCTACATATTTTCTGTTGTACCCACTCATTGCTTCGGGAATTCTGGAAGCATTAATAATATGCAAAATGAAAACTAGATTTGTGTATACGAAAATAGTTTGCTAGATTCCTTTTTTTGCTACACCCACTAGTTTTTTTTTATATATTCACGTTGTTTTGTAAGTTTTATGTTTTCACCTTCAAGTTACAGGCAACCTTATCATTACAGTTGAATAAATTCCAATAAAATTTACTGATTTCATTCATCTTATCATTATTATAACTTGATATCACCTGAAACCATTTCTCTTTCACAATGATTTTCATGTATCTATGTGAAAAATTACATCGAAACCTTTAATCTTGTAAATTTATTTTTGACCTTTAATCTGTTATATTTCCTGTAGTTTTCAGTCAGTCTGATGATTCATTTATTTATTAATAATTAATAGTTATTACATATTACACTCCATAATTTCCACTCACTTTATATATGTATATTCATATGTAAAAATTATTCATAGTATCAACTATTTCATATGAATACAATAGTACATACAACATTAAATCATGAAATCTTTGAAGAGAACAAAGTGTTTTTTCCTGAAAATATTCATTGTACTATTATATTTATTTATAAGTGCTTGTGTTTTATTGTTGCACCGGATAGGGGCTACCTGGACTCAATAGTTCAGTGTTTAACACTTTGGAGATTAGATGTACATTTGAGGTAAAGAAAAAACAAAAAAAATTATAAAACAGAACTTAGGGCGATATATATGTATATAGGGAAATTAGGAGACATGGTAATGAAAGCGATTTCTCAATCTGTTTTTATATGCAAATATCTGGCTTTTGTTCTGTATATAACCCATGTTTCTCCTGTCATAGATAAAATTTGTAGATACACGCTTCCCTGGATCTGGTTTTATTTTATAAGCAGTCTCGAATACTTTGTCGGATACTGTCTGACCAACTACGTGTTGCACAACAGACGATTTAATACTTCTGCATTATCCTTAATCGAGCCACTCGGAGAGGTGCAATATAATATATATTTCTGGTAATTATGAATTCCATATGAAATATAATAATTTTAGTGATAATTGCTGATATTAGCTAACTTCGATTGGATAACTATGATGAATCAGGAGTGGTGACTATCTGTTGAAGCTCCTAATCGGTACTCAATCATTATACCACATGAGTTAAAGCCTTGAACATTCGGATTTCTTGGCGATCACAATTTCATGGGGAATACTATCTTTAGAATCATGTAAATGTTGAAT